TAGTATAATAGTCTTTTTGTTAACTTTCTTTTTTTTTCTTTAAGTGATTAAGCACGATCATGTCCCATTTTTTTAAGCTTTTATCTGAAAGAAGCAATGCCTTAAAATAAGAGCATTAATAAGAAACTATGCACAAAATAGCTTTCCTCTGCTCATTCTGTACATTGCTCTTGTAAATGCTGATGATCTGTGAAGACCTGCAGATGCAGCGTGGTAAAAGTTGGAAGAGTTATGCATATAGTTCACTCTGTACACTGAGTTTTACGGTGGGTGACACAAGGTAGCATTTTGTCTGGTGTGAGGAAACTTTGTACTAAGAAACTTTCAACCCACCAACAGATCGGCATCCGATTTAAGCTTGCTTCATCTGCTGGGTATCTTGCAGACTCTTGAAGAGAAACTCGTTGGGGAAGTACGTACAGTGCCAAAATCAACAGCAGCAGCATCGTACAGCTTTGTTCAAGGACTTTAAATGCTTTCCTGTTTTGGCAGCCGGTTTCTAAACCTGACTTTGTGGTGAAGTCTCATATTTATAGAAAACAAGGATAGCAATATTTAGGACAACTGAAATAAAGGCTGGAAAAGAGAAATCAAACAGACTTGAACACTGAAGCAACCTCAAGCATCTCTTTATTTTGATGATCTATTTTTTTAAAGAAAATATTCACATGATCGGGGATGTATGTAACTGAAATCAAGAAAATGGAATTCCAGTTCAGTATGCATGAAAGATGGCACGCAAAGAATGATGTAGCAGCACTTAGCGTGAGGCTGGAGGGAGTGCTAATAATGTAGCAAGAGACAAAGTAGACTGTCACCCACTGTAAACATTTGCCAGTGGACACTTTTGTTAGGAATTTTACAAGTGATCTATGTGAATGCACAGAGGCCTTTGTTTTGAAGGCTTTGCTTTTTTTTTTTATGTGGGAAGAAAATGCCAATCCCAGGTAATTAGGCAGTAGACCCAAAGCACTTGCATTCAATGCATTTTGTTTATAAAATGAGGCCTTGTTTTTCAGCTTCATCTGCAGTTCTATGTGAAGATTGACAAATCAGTTTTTACCTGTTTATTAATAAAACCTAATTTGGATATCTTGAGTTGATGGTTTTGTGATTTAGCTGGGTAAACTGCCTTTGTAACAGATAAGTTATTTATAAAAATTAAAAAAAAAAAGAATTATATTCTAATGTTTGGGTTTGTGATTTGTTTGCTTTTCCCATGCTGTGGAGCAACACAATACTCAATGGAACAATAAGATTAGCAGTCTTGAAAGTAGGTTTTTCTTATTTTCTTATGACCAGAGATTTTATTTAAGCCTCTGTTTTGTTCACTCTTTCCTCCCATGCATTATTCTGTTTGATTCTAATTCAGTGACTGTTGTAAGAAATGTGTTCCAAAAAGCTGTACTGATAAAAACCATTCGCTTATTTATGAAGTAGTAAGCTAGATATGGGCCCTTTTTTACTTCATGCTTTAAGGGTTTATGATTTTTAAAATTTTTTTCAAATACAAAATGGGCAACCACTTTGTCTAAGGTATTAGATGATACAGAATATACTTTGTGTACTGTTAATATAAGTACAGTTTAATTATTAATATGGTTAAACTTTGTTTTGGTGCTATGTATATCACACTGTTACAAGATGTGGAGTGTTCTGGACTTGTCCTTCCCACTTGGTCTTGGTGTAGACAGACATCTGGTATGTGGAGTTGGGCTTTCCCGGGACACGGTCATTTTATGTAAAAGCCCTTCAGGAGACATCTATAAACAGATTAACTACATATCCAGCAAGAAACTTAGTGAATCAACTGGAGTGCCTTAATCTGCTGTGTGAAGAATATTGTTTGGAGCATGGAGGGCAACTGTATTTAAAAAGCAAACCAAAAACTCCAGTCAGCTGTCGGGTGAAAAAAACATGTTTGGGGGAATAGGTAAAATGGAATTCTGTTCATCATATCAAATATGTAACTGATCTTTTCCTTGCATTTATTTGTTTATTTTCTGAAAGTGGGGAAAAAAAAAACAACTTGCATCCTAGTTCCAGCTACTTATGCAGAGCCCTTGACACAGCACTCAAATACGCAATACTTTTTTTGTAAACTAGGTATATTTTAAAGTAGTCATCAGCATATAGTCACTTAGTGATAAAATGCGAATTCCAGTTTTGATACTTAATGAAATAGAAGAAGTAGTTTTCACTGGAAGTATGACTAAAGAATTACCTGCTTTGCACTTACATAAAATATTTTTATTGTCAAACAGCACAGTAACATAATGTCCTGGGTTCAGCAGTAGCAGTCATTTTTCCCCTTCTTGGTAGCTGGTGCAGTGCAATGTTTTGACTTTAAATGCTTAGAAAGCATTCTTGTGTCTGAGAATGTCTGTTTATAGCCGTCATGCTTTGCCAAGAAAGGTTGGGTGAGATGAACCCTGAGGTCCCTTCCAACCTTGTATTCTGTGATTAGTATGAGAATGTATTAGGCAGTGTTTTCAGTAACTGATCCTGGAACACTGGGACAAGAGAAGTGACATCTCCAGTATTGTCCTTTCCACAGACTTTTACCTTCACCTTCAGTTACCTTTTACTTTCACCTTACCTTTCGCATTCTTCCTGTATTTCAAGTCACATACGTCATTAGGTCTTCCTTCAAGCTGATGTTGGTATATTGGCATGTCACTGTTGTATGTTATTAAAGGGTAGGGTTTTAAGGGTTTGAATTTTGAAGAATGATACAGATTTCATGGTTGAATTTTACTATTTTTCCTCATAGAAGATAAATACAAAAATTGAAACATTTGCAGTAAGGTTAACTTTTTGTTACGAACATCAAAAGTTTACCTTGGATGCTGATTTATGACTTTTCTATATTGTCTTTGGATCTCTATAATGGGGAGGGGAGAGAGATATTATTTCACTCTAGCAGGAAGGGAGAACTACACTCCTGGGCTTTTAGAGAAGCTCCCATTTATTTTTTGTGACTGTGTAAAACACTATCAAATGATCAAGCTTCTGATTTGCGGTAACTTTAGAAATGAAGGCAGTGAAACTGAGCCAGAGATCTGGTAAGTGGGCTTCTGTGTCATGTCAACTCAGCTGTGTAGAACTGACTCCAGTTGGTGGCTTGCTAGATAAACTGGAAAAACATTTGTCTTCTGCAGCCACTGATCAGTAGAGGTATTCTGTTGCCCAGGAGTAGGGTTATGTGTGGCACCCCTGAAATTCAGATTAAATGTGAGATTTGATGTCTTTGGTCTCAAGCTAATGATAGGTCGATTTTAAAACTGCATAGTCAGTATCTGTGTCTGTCTGTGTGTATTTGTTTTACTTATGTGAAGTTAATCAGTTTTATGAAATGTCTGTCTTCGGTGTATTTTGTAGGTGCCCAAGGAGAAAAGTACCCTTATCAGTACTTCCGTCAGATTCCTCCGCCTTGAATGGCTATGACACATGAGTCTGGATACAAATTAAAAGAAGACTTGATTAAAGATGTTGAAGAAGCATTTAAAAAAAAAAAAGTCACCAAGTATTGAAATCTATTGAGTATTCACCCTTTTATTCATATCTTGTAAAAAAAAAAAAATCCTAGATTTGAACAGAAAAATACAAATAGGCTTTAAACTTTTGATTCTTTACTCTGCACTCCTCATACAGGGTAGAATGTTTACAATGCATTCCTTTTTCAAGCGTGACTGCTTGAATAGCAATTTTATTGCTAACTTTGAGGAATAGTCTTTAATTTTCAGTAGCCCACAATGGCTTGTGAGGCTCATACTTTGTGTAAGCTACTTAAAAATTACCAGAGGGAGAGAGTGAGAATAGGAAGAGTTGGTATGAAATGTTTGAGAGCTTACAATCATAGTAGTTAGGGTTGGAAAGGACCTTAAGATCATCTAGTTCTACGCCCCCTGCCATGGGCAGGGACACCTCACACTAAGCTATGCCACCCAAGGCTCTGTCCAGTCTGGCCTTGAACACTGCCAGGGATGGAGCATTCACAGCTTCCTTGGGCAACCCATTCCAGTGCTTAACCCTGTCACAGTATAAAGAACTTCCTCCTTATATCTTAACTTCCCCTGTTTAAATTTGAACCCCTTACCCCTTGTCCTACCACTATAGTCCCTAATAAAGAGTCCCTCCCTAGCATCCTTATAGGCCTAACTACTATAGGAACACTAAGGAATGATAACATTTGGAATGATGCGATCACACTAAACTTTGAAATTTTGGTACAGTTCTCAGTGGGTTTGATCTGTTTTTCTTTGAGCAAATCCATGGTATGCTTCCTTTCACAGGATAGCTTCTCACACAGTGGTGCCTTCAGAGGCTGCACTGGTAGAACTCAGAAGTGTGTGCTTCAGTCAGACTTTAGACATGTTCATCTCCATCAGTGTAAGTGGATATAATTACATTTTCATCTAAAACACAGATATTTTTAATACGTAACCAAAATGTAACAGTCTCCATCCAGTGCTATGCTGCTGAGTGCATGAGTTTAGCTGAATCTTTTTCCCCATGCTCTATTTTCTTCATTGATTTAAGTTGCAAGTCTCTATGCACAGTTACAGAGAACTTCGAGCCAAAATGATTATCTTTATGGGTTGAAATTGCCTATTATTTGCAGGCTTACTTAATAAAGCACTATTGTGTGTGAGTGCAGATTTTGAAGTAGCATGTCAGTTTGGGTACTACTCAAATGAGCAATTTGAGGTGTTTGTATAAACCTAATCCAGTTTTTTATGGATGTACGTTGTGTTACGGCTACAAATTCTGTGACTGCATGCAATTTTTCCGCACCATTTATGGGAGCACAGTGCCAATACAATTTTGATGTAGTTAATTTGGTAGTGAATGGAGGGAAATTTATATGAAGTGGGTTTTATGTGGGTTTTGTCTTAGTACATGTTAGCAGACCATATCCAGCCTGCGGCTGATCAGGTTTGCCTGAATTGTGGTTCCTGTTGTGATTGAGATCCAGGGATAAGATACATGATGATGGAGATGTAGAGGAAATGGACTAAGAAATACTCTGTCCTTTGTTCTTCACATGCAGAAGCAGGTTGTGTTGCTTTTCTAGCACCCCATTGTAATACGCAGACTAAAATGCAGCAAATATCAGCCCTCAAAGCTGACAAGATTGTAAATGGTAAGAGTGGAACTTGGAACATAGCATGCCTGGCCATGAAGACTGGTGTGCTTGGTCTGTGGTACCTTAGAAGTCTGTATAAGTAAATGGGTTTGTCACATTGTGTAGCCAGTCGTTGGGAGGATTTGTTGGTTTTCTGGTGGTGGATGGAGTTGGTTGATATGTTATGTTCCTGGGCATGATGGCCAAATGCAGTCCTATCCCATTCTTTGCAGACTTGCACGACACCATGCAGACTAAGGTCAGAAAAAGAACAGTAAGGTTAGGGAGCAGCAGCATCAGAGTATCTAATTTACATGCCATTTGACAAAAAAGAGTGCCCAACTTGTCAGGCTGGCTTCAGGGGCAATGGGAGGTGCAGTCTGTGTAGGAGGTACCCAAGACAACCTCAACACAGAACTTACTTCCCATTATATTAGAGACATATGGGTGCCACCAGTGTATATCTGCTCACATGACAGCCATGTCTCCCATTATGTACTGCGGTCTCATGCTTGGCACGTTCAGTTACGTGCCCAGGAATGGTTCATGAGGTGCTCCTAAGAAAAAGATGGGGGGAGCAAGTAAGCAGAGTGCCTCGTCTGGCTGGTAAGCATCCGCTTACCCACCTTGGAGGGGAGGCGCCTGTGGGTAAAATGGGTTATTCTGCCTCTGCAGTTTCAAAGGTTGGATGCTGGTTCATTAAAACAGACACTTAATAGCCTCAGAAGGAAGGCCAGTGCATCTGTAATGCTTCTAACCATCATACTATAATAATAAACTCTTAAAAGTAGTGTTTTCTAATTATGTAGTAAATCCAAAAGTGAGTTCAAAACAGGTTGGTGAATAATGATGGCTCTTCTGCCATCAGATGAGATAATGAATGTTTGCTTGGAGTGAAAACTTGATTACAAAAGTTATCAGCCCCAAAACTTCAAATAAAGAATTACTTTTATAGTGGTGTTACATTTATGTTGATAAAAGATGATGAGCAAAGCAGTGTTTGTACAGAATGTCTCTTACCAGCTGATCCAAAAAAAATTACTTCATTTATAAACACTGCTCATGGTAACAACTCTGCACTTCATGGCTGTAAATTTTCAGTCAAGGACCCCTTCTAATGATTGTTTTTAATATTTGATATTTCATGTGTTGTGTCCTGGGTAGAGCATAATTGGAGAGATGGATTCATTTTTTACAAAATCTTCTCTGTTTCGCTCTTGTTTGTTTTGTGTTAGTCACATTTCCCAAATTACTTGCTTGCTTAGTGCCCTACAGCATTGTAATGGAAGCTTACTGTCATGCAGTCTGGGAGCTGCTGCTTGGAAGAAAGATGCAGAAGATGCTTGGATGCATTGTGCCCCTTCCCACTCCTCTCATGGGGTTGCAGCTGACTGGGAGCTGGTGGACAGTAATGGAGGAAATGTGAAATGCTAAAACTAAGTTTGTCTAACGGGACCTAGAGAGAGGAAGGAAGGCAGCAATTGAAGCACCAGCAAGTCCAGCACTTCTTTCTGCTGGAAGATTTATGGCACTGCTTTAGGATTTTTGTGTTTCCTCTTGTGTATAGCGTGTAAAGACATCCTAAAGATAATAAATGTTTTCTCACAGTTATGGCAGCTCTGCTCCAAGCAGCGTGCAGAATGTGAGCCCAGGATTTTGCAGTTCCCTGTGCTTTCATTAATCTCTGTCTCTATCTTTGCCTCTTTGTCTTTTTAGCTTTCCTTTTTTCTCTTTTTAATTAGACTTGAACAGCCAACCACTCAAGCCAAATTTCCTATGCTTTGTTGGAGCTGTCTGGTAGCTACAGTGAAAATTTAAATTAGAGCTGGGATGTGTCTTTTGTTCACAAGCCTTTTCCTGCCGTCTGTGTTTCGGGGCTAGAAATCAAATATGACCTGGTGAAAGAAAATACCATCTTCTGACAGATACACCTGACGCAGTTGGAAAGAGAAAGTCATGAGGTGTCTGTTCTGTCTGCAAGAATCATAGAATCATAGAATAGCTAGGGTTGGTAGCCAAAGTCTGTGGATGAAAATTGCTGTCATAGAGAGGATGTTGGATGTTCTCATCAGGCATCCAGCTTGAAGTTTGAATGTGGTTTGATGCTGTGTCACAGACTTGTTTGGTGGTTTAGAGAAAGTTGCCCAGATCCTTGTCTGTGTGTTCCATGGCAGCAGTCTGATCTTTCTCATTTTTGCAGTTTTTCTTGTGCAGTTTCTCTCCAACTGTGAAAGCATTTGGAGGTGTGTACCTCTTCATGTCTTCTGTCCATGTTCATGAACATTGTTTTTGAAGAAGCGGTACTGTATACCAGAGGTTCATCCTATGGCGGTGCAACTAAGCTGCAGCTCTACTTACAAATAAATTGAAAAGGTGGAGTAACTCTTGGCTTCAGAAAACCTTTCCTAATCCTTGGCACAGATGCTCTGTAAATGAGAAAGAAAATAATGTCATGTTAGTGGTTTTTTTGAGCTGGAAGACATGACAAAAGCTTTCCCTATTTAATGACAACTAGTAACGGGGGGGGGGGGGGGGGGGTGCTGAGATTGATAATTTTAAATTAGATTGCTTAGGCTTTTTGAACCCCTAAGGAAACCATGTGCTGTGCTGCCTGGCCACTGTTCTGCCCCTGCGAGCTTCACTTCTGGCCCAGGGCCTCTGCTCTGCATGAAATGGAGCATCCAGCTAGCAGGGGCTGAGGCTGAATCTGCTCTTGTTAATGACCCTACAGCTGCCCTCACCAGGGAGTGCTTTTCTGCCAGCCCCAGAGCCTTGGCCTTCAAGCTCAACTCTCCAAACTCGCCAGTAGTTCTGCTTTGAGAAACAGACTTTACCATTTTTTAAGGTAACTGTGATGCTTTCCAGTTCCCAGTGCTTCTTGCAGCAACAGTAGAGTTGGGTGATGGAGAGAAATACTAGGTTATTCACATGATTTACAGTTGCACCCAGAACATCTGCCAGGCACAGCTGTGCCATGTGATGCTGTGCTAAGAAACCTCCATTCCCACTTGGAGAGCCCAGCCATGTTCAAAGTGGATGTAAGTAACATGCAAAGGTATGTCTTGAGTGGTTTTGTTGAAAAGTGTATCGTGCATCTCCTGATGTATTGCTTCCTGTTGGTTTTCATTTTCTTTCATTTACTTCTCTTTATTTATTTTTCATCCTGATCTTTTCCTGGACCAATACCTGCTTCCTGGTAGCAGGGATGAGCCTATTGATTTTTTTTTTTATTGCATACAGTGGTTTAGTTCAAAATTTGAATCAGCATTTTAACACTTTATTAGTTCTAGTAGTGCTCCAGAAGGTGCTAGGCTGCCATGTGGTGAATTCAACTCAGTATCTTTTAATTTCACATGTGAAATTAATCTCATGAAGCTAAACCAAAACAGATTAGGAATGCTTTGGAGCAGAGACTGCATCACCACCCCCAGCTGGAACTGTCCTCGTTACTGGTTTACAGGGTTGTACTCCATGAAGCTCCCATTCTCTGTGGAGCTATTAATGAGCTGTGAACCCTGTGTTCTGGCATGGCCATGGCACACCCTCCCCAGTAGTGGCAGGGAGCACTGGGCTCAGCCTTGCCCATTGTTCAGTCACAGCTGCCATGTTTTGGCTAGCGTGGAAGGGCTTCTACTTCTGAGGCCAAAAAGATGTTATCAAGTGTTGAGTAAGTTAATTTTCTTTCTGAATTTTGTTTGTATGACACTAGATGGGTGTCAGAAAGATGACACTGCTCATTTCACAGTGCAATTGGATTCTGCTGTTACTGCTGTAACCAAATTGGTTTTCTTTTCATTTTCTTCAGAGTAAAAACATTTAACTCCAGACTTATAAAAGAACCACAAATAAAACACACCAGTGAAGAAGTTGTGGAAAAGGACCTGAATAAACTGGATTGCTCAGAAACTTGTTTTGTCTGTCATTAGTCGTATGTTACTAACTCCTGTGTGATCCAGCCATCACTCATGTTTGACAGAGCTTGCTTTCTGTAGTATTCTCCACCCCAAAACTCTGCTGTATTGCATTTAGCTACAAAAGCAGCTTCATACCTGCCGTTCCTGTTGGCTGTTTCTGGATGGTTTTATATGGGTTGGTTTGAGAGGGTGCCTGCCAGCTGTCAGGACACAGGCACAGCTAGTTCTCTCTGCTTGTCCTCAAGTAGTAATGCAAGCCAGCACACTCACTGACCTTTTCCAGATGTTTTTTCATCAGCCTCCGGTATCTGGGTTGATGGAGTTTGCTTTCCCTACCTTTTTAGCCCTTTCCAGCCTGGAGCAGGTAAGCCCACTGCAGTATTGCAAGGGGTTATGCCATGGTATGGGCACGGGGAGCTCCCAAACCGTGTATTTTCTCATTCTCCCTTCGCTTCCCTGATAGCGTGCTTGATGGTTCTGGGCTTGGTGTAATGCACACAAGCTGCTGAGCCAACCAGAGCTGGCAATGTTTTATTGTACTCTTAACCCCACGTAGAGCTCTCTGGTCCCTGGATCTGGAGGAAAGGAACTGGTGTTTCCTGCTTTGTTCAGAATCTCATCAAGACCAGCCTGGGAGGAGCCATTGCTTTCAGCCCCATGCAGCTTTCAGCACAGACTACCCTGCACTTCAGATGCCATGTACTGAAGAGCAGTGTTTTCAGGCAGGGCCACAACAGCACCCTGGTTGCAGACTGGGTTGTGGGTCCTTTTGGGTCCCAGTTCTGCATTGGTGTGAAGTAACATATATACATCATAATATTGGCTGTGTCCTCCAGAAGATTTGCGTTGGAAATTGTGCAAGAAGGATGGGGATATTTTAGGTTATTTTTACAGGTTCTTGTACATGTGATGGAGCCTGGAAAGTGTGTGAAACTTTAGTAATACTATTACTAATGACTATGGTGCAATTCTGGCTTGAAATAGGACAAACTGCATTCTCCAAAACTTAAAAAAGGCTACTGAAAGCCAGGAGCTGGGCACCCCAGGTGCAGTATTTAAGGTAGGTCTCAGTAAATGAAGGGGAGAATGGACCAGCATCGGGAATCATCTGCTGGCCCATGGGCAAATACAGGCTCAGGAAATCCTGCCTTTAAGCTAGTGCTGCTGCTGTGCCAGCAAAGTGATAGCTGGACCAGGGAGGGTTATTTGTGCCTCTGGCAAGGAGCTTGGACACAGGCAGCAAGCAGGTTTCGGGTAGCTCTGAGCTGAAGCCTGTATGTGCTGTGTGGCACATCCAGCCTGTACCTGGATAGCAGAGTATTTTATTTTCAGCTTTGCAGAGATGTGGGTGCACAACCCACTGACCTGGCCTTGGGCAACTGCACAGCTGTGGTGAACCCGCTCCCCAGCAATGCAAGGGAAGAATGCCTAAAAGGAATGCAGCTGGAAATTGTGGCGTTTTTTACTTGCTTCGGAACTGCTTTGGGGTCCCTTCCCCCACTTAATGCTGCCTTACAGTTGCGTGCCTGGAATACTTGCTGTATATCTGCCTAGCTCTTGATTGACACATATACAAGATAATAAATTTAGTTACAATCCCCTGTGTTCAGATTGACCAGTTATGACCCAAGCACACCAGGAAAGACTTCAGAGATAACATTTGTAAGGCGATGCTCTCTGGACTCAAAGAGAAAGTGTTTTTCCAATTAGTTTCTGTCTAAGGGCTGGCTGTGATGCTTATCCAATTGGCAAACCTCGGTTCAGATTTCAGCTTTAAAATATAATTGGCAGCTCAGCAAATTCATAAAATTGATCCCCATTCACACTTATTTTTGGCTTGCGTTAAGAATGTGCCAACCTGGAACTCTAAACTTAACCCGGAGTGACTTTCCCAGGCCCGCTGCCCTGAAAGGGAAGCCTGGCACCAGCACCTGGGCCCCAGCCAAGATAAATCCTGAGCCACTGATGTCAGGGCAGCTGAGGCTTCAACTGTAGGTGAGGGGAGAACAAAAAGGCAGAGTAAAGGGTGGGTTTTGTAAAATGCCCCTTTCTGAAACTCCTTCTTCAAGTGATCTTGAGTGTGGCGCACACTGCTCCAATCTGACACGGTGCTGCAGTTTCTAAGACCATCTGAGCTGCCATGCACACTTTTAAGGCTGCTTAAACGTGAAACTCGTGCTAAAGTTCAGATGCAGTGTAAATGCTCAAGAGAGCAGTGCGTTTCAGGTCCGTGCGTGCAGCAGTGGCTAGAAGAAAGCGGTAGAATTGGTTCAGATCAGATTGATCGCAGTGTGATCAAGCCTCTCCTGTGGGTACATTAGTTTCTGTCAGCCTGCAGGAGCCTTTCTGTCCAGGAGGCCCAAGCAAAGCTGCCTTCATGCCAAGCTGAAACCATCACACAGCCCTCCAGTATGGGCTGCCCTGTACATTCTGCTTGGTATATGGATGAAGTGTGGCTGCTCGTGGGGTTTATGCGAGTGGATGGAACCGGCTGGTGAAAGTCAGCTCTGGAGCAGCGAGTCCTGCAGCCAGTGCTACCACATTGACACCTGGTGGTGGACTTGGCCCTCGTGTTTTTTAAAATACGTTATTACTGTACGTCTTACAGATGGCGATTACTAGACGTTTCCTAGAGGCATTCCGCTTGGCTGCCTATACTTTTTCTGTCAATAACTCTAAGTAAGCTCCCTCGGACAAATACAAACATTGGAACATCAAAGAGCAAAGTGCAGAGGCTGACTTAAATCTGTTCCTCCCAAATACCATCACCACTTGCAAATCAGTATCATAAAAAATGAACAGAAATAACCATTGGAGAGTAATTTTCTGCTTTTCTACTCTTCTAGAACTTAGGTTCTCTGCCCTTTTTCCATAATGTTATTTTGACTTCAGCATATACTGAGACTTTTTTTTCCCTCTTCTGCAAGACTTAAATACGACCCACGTAACCTGAGAAAGATGCTCTAAAGGTTTAGAGATCTTCCATCTGCTTCTCGAAGTAAAGCCCGGGCTCCAAATCCACTGCATGTCATGTATTACATTATGAGCAAAAGGATATTCAGATGCTGAAGTCCTTCTCCGAGAATGTTTCCCTGCTGGAAATAACATTTTTACAAGCTTCTGCATTCCCATCAGTCTCTTCCTAACAGGACCTCCTGTGGGGAGAACTCGGTATTTCTCATTCCGATTATAGTTTTGAGTAACATTTGTAATTGTCTGCCAATGGCTGTGTATTTTTTGGCAGTAAGAAATCATAGTCAAGTTTGCTTCCCTGCTTAAATTTTCTTTAGCACTGCTTTTGGAGCAATGATGGGATGGGTTGCAGCCTTTGCCAGGCTATCATGGCATTTACACTTTTGGTTTCCCTGGAGCTGCAGAATGTGATTTTAGTTACGAAGGGCATTTTACCGTTTCAAGCAGTAAGAGTCACCATGTTCCTCTGCACTTCTCCTGCTGCTCCCTTATCAAGTTCTGATCTCTCTGCATCTCTTCTGCTGACAGTGCAAGGAGAACATTATTCCTGTAGTAAAATTAAATCTAATTGGGAAACCAAATTACCAGATGGTGATGGTGTCTCTGTCTTGTCTTTGTGCTTGTCGTTGTAGTTCACTCAGTTACTGCAGCTTGTTATTTAGCAGGTTTCGCTGGTGTTTGGAGTCTCTGCAAATATTAAATCATGGATATTAAGTTCACAAGCTGAGAGCCAGAGGAGAGCTGGACTCAGCTTTGCTCAGTGTTTCAAGAGTGCAGATGGATGGCATCCATCTTTGTCAATCTAACTTTGCACAGCAGTAAGCTTCCAAAGTTTATTATACCATGTGTAACATACAGCATACTTGCTTCTACCAGGTCTATGTTTCTTTAATCTTATTTAGTGCCTTTTTGGTCTTCTATGAGAAAATGTATTTCCACTCGTTTGTCTGGTTTTTATGCCATCCATGTTTTGCTGCCTGCTTCTAGTTTATGGTTTTGTTTTGCCATTCGGTGTTCGAATGCCTATTTGTCTCCTGTATGAAGCCAGTAGTGTAAGTAACTGCCTCAAATGTACAGTCCTGGGGATGGTAGGTGAAGGATGCTCATTGCTTTTGCAGTAGGATGTAAGGTAGTTCAGAGCATGTGTTGGCTGAGTTTCTGCTAGCATCCCATTTGATCCTTGGCGAGTGGAAAAAGCTGTATGAAGTCAGCTTTGGTAAGAAGGCTTCTTTAATGTGCCATGGGAGAACAGCCCAAGGATACCAGATCTCTGCCAGGCTGAAGGTATCTCCCTTGTGGTTTTAAAAACAACAAAAACCAAAACTTTTTTTCTTTTTTTAAAAGAAGTAAACCAAGAAACTATAAGAAATTTTATAAAAGGAACTCCTAAAAACCTCTTCAGCTTGAGAGCAGGGAAGGGAGAGACAGGATCCTCGCTGGGCTTGAGTGGGAGCAGTGCATGGCACAGCAAGACTGGGGGGGGGAAATGTGTAGAAATTAGGGAGGCTGAGGAAACCGTGTGACACAAAGGAATGGTGAAGGAGGAGGAGCTGATTATGGTGAGCAATTCTGATGCCAGCACTCATTGGCAGAGGCACATCATCCAATTTCCTTTCCCCATTCAAAGGCCCGCCAGCCCTGCATACGTTGTCCTAACTTTCTGGCTTGCTGCCTTGCATGTGCTGTCCTCACAGATTGCTGTGTTCACAGCTTTGCTTCATTTGTATGTCTATTTTGACTGCATTTGCCAAGTCAGCATCTTACTACATCTTACTCAAGAGCTCCTCTGAGCCTGCTGCAAGACTTCAAGGCAGTGATTCCGACTTGGGACAGAGAAGGAATATATTTGGCTGAAACGTTGTAAAAATCCCTTCACTATAGACTGTGAATTGCACTGCTTCCTTAATAATGCTAATGACAAGTGGTGCTTGTAATATTAAACTATTCTTGTCAAAAGTTCAAAGCATCCCAGTCCCGATAGCCCCTAGGAAGTAAATACTACAGAGGTCTTGCATGTGTAGAATCATTGGATGGTTTGGGTTGAAAAGGACCTTAAGATCATCAAGTTCCAACCCCCCTGCCATGGGCAGGGGCACCTCACACTAGATCATGTTGCCCAAGGCTCCGTCCAACCTGGCCTTGAACACTGCCAGGGATGGAGCATTCATGACTTCCTTGGGCAGCCTGTGCCAGTTCCTCACCACTCGGCACAGACATACCCTGATGCAGAGAAGCAAAAGAATTGTTGTGGCAGAGTGGATGAGTTGAATGACCTGTGTTCAACAAGCAGTCTGTCTGTTAAAGGCTTTCACCAGAGGCTTTGGGGTTTGAGGTGGTCTGTCATACTTGGTGAAGGACAGGACTTGCTGGGTTCTTAACCAGCAAGCCAACATTTTTAAGGAGGAGAGAAGCCATGAAACCTGTCTTGTTCTCTTCAGTTGTTTGTGATTAGTTTGAATGTTTGCTTATAAATTGTGTCAACTCTTGTAGGAAGTGAGTTAAAATATTAGCAAAACTCCTAAGAATAATTGGCAAACACTGTTTGATACAGAACACGTTTATTATCTGCTTCATAGACAGTCTTATTATTAATAATCGTCATGGAATCTAAGCTCACAAATTAGTGGACTTGTCATGAGTGTTCTGTGAGAGGAAGATTTCTGCATTTAAGAGGATGTGGGAAGGAGGTATATCGGGCTGCCTGGACTGCATGGGGAGCAGAGGACCACCCTCTTTCCCTTCTTATGCTGAGGAGCTGTTGCAGGGGTGACTTCTACCTGAGGGTTTTCAGTGACATATTTGTCTCTAGCTTCCCCAGCCCCTCACAGAGCAGGGTGTCTGTTCCGTCCAAGCTTCTTGGGAAAGGGTGAGAGAAGGGAAGAGGATTCTTTATTTATGACTTTTTCTTTAATTATTATTACTTTCAAATGAACTTGGCAACTCTGTAGCTCTCCCTTAGGAAATCTGTCTCCTGGAGGATTGCTCTCACTGCTTCCAGCTGCTTATAAAAGTCTTGACAACCAAAAAGTAGAGAACATCAAGGGCTGTCCAAGCCTGTTGGGATTTATGGATTCATTTTCAACTTGGCAGCGAGAGCTGGACTCAAACGCATCTCAGCAGAGACACCAAATAGCAACAGCCTCCCACCCCATCTGAACACCCTGGCAAGAACTGCCTCCTCCTCCTTCCCATTAGTAGCCCCTTCCCCTACCCCAGGAGCTGACGCAGCCAAAAAGATCCTCCTGTCTTGGAAAGAGTAAGAGGCGCTGCAGCAGGAATTCTGAGCCCCAGATACTTGTGCTGTGGTGAAATAATGGAACAGTCAGCGCTTTCCATGGGCTCTTGGCCAGCAGCAGAGCTCCTCTCAAGCAGGCAGTGACACAGCACCACTGCTGAGCTGCCCTTCGGACAAAAGCTCCGTGAGAAACAACCCTCTGGTGAGCAGAAGAGCCAAGAGAAATTAAGTTCTACTTAGTGCCAAAGTCTGATTTGTTTTCTCAGCCACTTTCTCAGCAGAATGCACGTTCTGTGTGTTTTGCTGAAAGAGTCCCCAGTAAATAAGACAGAAATGAAAGAAAAATAACTTATAAAGCATCAAGAGAGAATTTTGACCACCAAATTCCTGTGCATCCTCAAAGGAAAAGCAGAAAAGCTGATGCACGTCTCCAGCAAGCCGAGGGCACTATATAAAGGCAGAATGCCAATTTTCCTATAGATTTTAAATGCCTTTTGCACTGAAATATGTAACATTATTCCAGACATGAAAACAAATGTTGACAAGTACAGTTATATCCTGCTCTGTTGCTGCGTGTGTATTTTCTGAGTGCTGTCATTTTGGATTTGCTGTGTTCAAGTATGTGGAAGATCTTTTTCCACTCTGCATCACACTTGCTCTCTGATTGTACATATGTGTACAGCAGCATATATGCATACAGCAGTAGTTGGGAAAGCTCTGGTACAGGTTGGTAGGCAAGCCAATGAGCCTGGCCTTGCATAGGTACAATACAGGCACTTAACCCCATGAGATGGTTGCTTCAGTGTGTGAAGTGTGTTGCGTGGCATATTTCAGCACAACTAATAATGCCTGTAGAACTCAAGAATTTTTCAAAGCATTTCACAGGACATTTATTCCATAGTTTTGTTTTATAATGTCATTTCTAATCTTCATGTAATATGAGGTGGATAAACTTACAAGCTATTCTGGAAGCTATTCACTTGGAAGATGGCTGAAATCTTTTCACATATTCCACAGTTTAGTCAAGGACTGGGATAGGGAAATTATCTCTTGTTCTGCCTCTTCCTCTCTTTCTTGAATTAATTCCTCTCGTACTGATGTTGCCCCCTCTAATTCTGGCATTGCATCTTCTTCATCTTCCTTCACTACGTGAGTTGCTTTTCATTTCCATTTCTTTTGTATATAGGAGCAAATGACAGAGGCATGGACTGGTCCTTTGGTTCAGCTGCAGTGGCTGCTGCTGGGGTTGGAGTGTCTGCAGTGTCTGTTATCAGAGTTGGAGTAGCTGCTATGCTGATTGGTGGGGACAGAGTAGCCACGTTGTCTGTTGCTTTGCCATCAGATCCAGACACGTCTTTTTCTGATAGTGTTGAGCAGGGCTCTCCATTGTAGTCCAGGCCAGCGCTCATTGCAGTTATTTGTACCTCTCTGGTAGTGCCAGGATGACCACATACTTTTTCCACGTTTTACTAGCTTTTCTGGATCTTGTACAGGGGGGAAGTTCCAAAGCACTGGCGGGGCCCATTGGCCGAGGTACTTGCCCATGCCACTCCACACACCCTGCCACTCGTGACTGTCCTGTCTCAGGGAAGTTCTCTTGGTGGTATTCTTAGGTCATTGTTTAACCTGAACCATATTCAACAGCACAGGGGCTCCCAGCAAAAGGAGCAGGCTGGTTTCAAGGGTACTCAAAGGATACTCAGAATCTTTAAAATTCTCAAAGAGCCTGGTGGGGGAGCAGAGGCTGTGAGGGAATGTCTCCTCCATAGGGGGAGAAAGAGAGAAGTGTAATTGTTAATAATTCCCATTACATGATTCAAAGTGTAGGGGTGATGGCACAATTGCTCGCCACCACCTGCCGACTGATACCCAGCCTGATGCGAGCAGCAGTCTGGGCCTTCTGGGTATCTCTTTCCAGTTTATCTACTGGGCATGACATGGTATGGAATATCCCTTTGGCTAGTTTGGGTCAGGTGTCCCATCTCTGCTTCCTCCTGGCTTCTTGTGCCCCTTCTCACTGGCAGAGCATGGGACTGAAAAGTCCTTGATCAGAGTAAGCATTACTTAACACACCAATGTTTTTAGTTGCTGCTGTCAACGTCGTTCTCAGGCTAAAGTCAAACACACAGCACTGCACCAGCTACTAAGAACGAGAAAAATGACTGCTACTGCTGAGCCCAGGACAGACAGTTATCTATATTGTGACAGTAGCTAGTGGATAATTCATTACATGTGGAAAAAACTGTTCTGCTCTGTGAAGACAGGTCATGCCCCCACCCCCATGGTTAGGATTTCTTGGAGCCAACCATGTGGCCATAGATGATCAAACTGATACAATGTGCTTATTTCCTGAACATTCTTCAAACAACACTAACCAAGAAAAGCTGCTGGTGCTTTCCAGAAGGAAACAGGTCGAACTGTCACCACTTCCAAATCATGCATCATGTGATGATGTCACTAAAGGTCACTTCTTTGAAAACAAAAGAATTCAGTGGTGTCAGTGAGGGCCACGTTTGACTCTTGCTTGAGATCAACATCACCAACTGCTAAATACCTGATAGAAACAGCACCGGGTCAGAGCGTTTGTGAATCCCACCTGAATGCTGGAACTGGTGAAGCATCAGTGCTGAGAGTAATGGAAAAATAAAATACAAAGGAAAGAAGACAATGTTATTTGGAACAAAGAGTTGTAGGTGACCACTTTATGATGTGTTAAAGCGTTTCTAAAACATGTCATACTGACATACTTGAACTTTGGTATAATGCTAACGCCCTTCAGCTTCAACCTTAATCTTTGAATTATAACCTGAAGAGTTCAGTGGAATAATGCAGAGATTAGCAGTTTTACAATTTACTGAGGATCAAACATGTCCCAGCAGAGCACAGTTTAAATGTTTGCAATCATAAATCAGCTGTACAGTTGCATTATGGGACCATGTTCGGTAATTAAGGGTTAAGTCAATAACAGGATTTTTTCAATACAACAGAGACACTTCAAAGCTTCCCCCCCCCCCCCCCAGTCTCTTTGGCATCATCTGTGCCTCCTTTTTTAATTAACAACCCCAAGCTCTCGGTCCACATCAGGACTTATACTGGAGATGACTTCCCTGATTTGACTTCTATCGTATGCGATCCCTGAGAAAGGTACCTGCAGCTTCTCTGCTGGACCTTCACGCCTCTGCTAGAGACTCTGTGTGTTCACTGCTTTGGTTTATAAATGCGAGATGTGCCTTTGAAAGCTCACTGATACAGCCAGTGGTACGGATTCAAAGGCTCCTTCTAGCAGGGAGCACAGCCCTGTGTCAGGGGAAATGGGCCAAATTATTTTTTGCCTATAGCTGAGCAAGTAGGCATGGGAGGTCAGTGCAGAGCCCTTCACATGGAGCATGGCTCTTTTACAATAGCTGAGCAATAGGCTTAGGGTTTTTAAAACATGTCTATTCTTTCAAGGCATCAACAAAGATCTCTGCCATCCTGAACCCAGTCACTACTGAGGTTCAAATGCTGACAGGGAGGGGAATGAGCTCCCACTGTGGTGAATGGCAGCCTGTGTCTTGACTTGGTGCCCCATGTGACATAGCTGGTTGATGCTTAGACCTGTGCTCCCAGAGCAGCTACGGTGTTTGCCATAAAGCCCTTTAATAACACTTGGTTAAGGCTCAGAGTAGCATGTTATTTGCCCGGGACTCGTGATTGTCAGGAAAGGTTTGATCTGGAGGCTTCACAAATTTCTGTGTCTTTGAATCAATAAAGTCAATATAGCAATATCCTCAATATTGGGGTACAAAGCCATGACATGGTTCACATCACTGTAAGGGAAAAGGGAGCACAGCTCCCTGTGTGTGTTTGGTTGCTGGGCAGAGGGTGGCCTTACAGCTGGAGTGGGCCAGTGGTCACTGTAAGAGGTATCGGGGTATGCATAGGTTTTCTGGTAGAAGCCCAGTCCATTTCTGGAGTCTAACATGAAGGGCTGCTGTGGGGGCCGGCTGCGGAAGCGATGCTCCTGCTGCTGCAGGTGATGCTCACTGTAAGAGTGAGGCAGGTCAGCGGGAAGAGCTGAAGACTGCGGCAAAATGTGGTGCTGAGTCCCCAGGGCCTGTCTGTGCTGAGCACCATCAGGGGCATAGCGGCTCCTCTGACTGATCCTGTGGGTGCTGCAGCCCTCCTGCGGCCAGCTGTGGTCTGGGCACATCCCACTCGACACCGGAGGGAGCACCGTTTGCTGGAAAGGGCGTCCCGGTAAGCTGGTGTGGTCCAAGCTATGGGAGTGATGAAGCGTGTATGGGTTGTCCCTGAGGTTGCTGAACTGGTGAGGGCTGTCCATCACTCCTCTGTCCTGATGTGTATGTATGGACCAGTTGTAGCCGTAGGTGTCATCACCAATGGATAGTGCTGACATCTTCTCCAGGAGTGGATGGTCTTGCCATGGCTCTGGCTGCAGCAAGCGCTGGTCCAGACACAAGTCAGAGCCAGAGCTGCTGGCCCAGCCACTGGAAGGCTGCTCAGGACATCTCCCTTGGGACCATCCTGAATAACAGGAAGCTCCTGTGCAGCCACTACCTTCTCGCAGGGTTTCTGTACAGGCACCACAGGGCACAGACTCTCCTCCAGTCCTATATGGCTCTTCCTCTTTGCCCATGCTTAACGGGACATTTATTTTAGCCCTGAGCTCATCAGCAACTGTGAGCTGAGCTTGGTGCAGTCTCTCTGGGTGGTAAAATTTGCATTTATTGCCATAGGTGCACTTTTTACCTGAAAGAATAAAAAAAATCAGAGCAGGAGGTTGTCACTAGCTCCCATATCAGTTGATATACTCATCGCTTCTTCCCAGCACTACATATTTGCAGGGGTATGGGGAGCACAAACAGCAGAAGGGAAGTAGCTGTTTTCCAGTTCAGAACTTCTGACCCCAGATTTACATACTGCTGTCCAAAATAGCAAGGGGAAGCAGCAGTGAAAGCAAGTTTCTGCTATTTTGGAAGTGTCTGAAACTCATTTATGTTCTGGCTGCTGCTCTCAGTGGGCTGGGAGACCTGCTGCTACAAAGGGCTGCTTTAAAAAAGGGCATGTATAGGGATTTACCTCTGAAAAACCTGTGCATTACTGGAAAGCTGTTGGGAGGGGAAAGGGGAAAGTGTTTGGATGGCCTTTCCCCAGTGCCATGACACAAGTCCACTCTGCAAAGTGAAATCTGCGTGCAGGCTGGGGCATCAGCACAGCTGCAGCGCCTGGTTTGGGTGCTGGGTGTAGGCAAGGATGGGAGCCAGAGCTGCTGCCTTTGCTGGGGCTGAAACCACTTCAGCAGGAGAGGGAAAAAAAAGCATCACACGTCTGTGCAGCCCTGACCCAGTCCCTACCACAAGAAGCAGGACAGCACATGATAATGGTGGGGGACCTTAGCCGAAGGAAAGCACTGCTGGGAAGCAAATGGCAAGAGGAAGAGGAGTTCACAGCACAAGGAGAAACCCACCATAGGGGCAAGGCTGCCATTTTGGTTCAGGAAGCACTGGCTTTTTGCTGAGGAAGTTATTAAGTGTAGGTCCATGCCGGCCTAACGGGTCATCAGGAGGCATAAACCTGAAAAAGGAAAAAGCCACAGGAGTAACAGAAACACCTTTTTATCTTTAGGAGCTAAAGTGCCACCACAGCTCAAGCTTAGGGTAGAAAATCCTCGTGATCCTTTTGTGGCCTGGCTTTCAGGAGCCAAGCTCTGTTCCTATGCACAGCCGTCATGCCTGACAAGACATCAGTTCTTCACCTTCATGTAGCTGTTGGTTTTCCCTCATAACACAAAAGAGCTGGAAAGGCACAGCAGCTTGCTGTGGCTCTGGCCAGCCAGAAGCCCTGGCTGTGGCAGCATCCTTCTTCTCTGAAGCAGCAGCAGCAAACTCCTCTGTGGTCCCAGCGCCTCAGTCCTCACCATCAGCTCCTTTCCACAGCAAACTCACTTTTCTCTTACTAAATACTTGTAGGAGAATGAGGATTAAAAAGCCAGAAGTTAATCGAGAGCTACAGCTGGTCACTTGTGATAAACTAGCCCAGCCTTTTTCAAAGGTTCAGTAAAGGCTTCCCACTACAAGGCCTGCAAAATGCTCAGATGAAACTGTTAATAATTCTTCTATGCCAGTACATGAATGTGGTGCTTCAGGAAGAAAACTAGTTGTTATCTCTGGACTTGTTTGCAAATGAATCTGCAGTGCACCCACTCATGGAAAACCCCTTTGTTGGATGAAGGGAGTCACTGGCAGGAGGGAAAGAAGGCACTCAGGGAATTTGGTTATCCACAGAAGGGGACTGAAACCTCCAACTTCAGGCTGTGATTTTAGAGGGGTTCTCAAAGCTGTGCAGGGTCTTGCTGAAACTACTCAAAGGGGCTTCACAGTAACAGCTAGACTTTCTGAGGGAAGAGTTCTGAAAAGGTCTGGCAATCACTATGAAATAGGAAGGAAAATATCATATAAATATTTGTAACCCATTAGTAACTAGGGGAGAAGCCTGGTGGTAGCTGGAGATGAAAGACTGGAGCTTTGAGAGATACAGTATGCTGGTGTTCAGTGGCTACATTTCTGTGAACAGCGTTACAGGGAAACTGAAACCCAGCGCCGAGCGCTGCCATCCAGTTCTGGTGGCAGGAACGCCAAGTCTCCATCCTGACCCATAGAGAATGCCACAGTGTAAGATGGCTTCTCTGCTCACACTCATCCATGCACAATGGATGCCTCTGAGCGTACTTCCCCAGCCAAACTGGTGGCTAATGAACACCTCTGCTACTAGAACACTCAGACAAGGTCAGTACATACAGACTGAGGAGCACACAGCTCAGCTTTGCAGGCAGCGTGCATGTGCCTTAATGAAAACCTTCCACAGTGGGGGTGGTAAAGGCCAGAGAGACCAGCTTCTTACTTCTCTTCTTCTAGAAAGTTATGATTACAAAGGCATAGGAAAAGGTGCTCTTCTGCCTTTAAGGGAATTAGAAATACTGCCAGATAGCCAGCCTCCTTTCACAGGTTTCATTCTGTTTCTTACAGGAAATAGAAATTGAAAGATACCAAGTCTTAGTTTAACACCCCAGTTGGATTAGACAGAAGAAAAGCTGGTCACTAATGCTGCCATTTGAATATAGAAGTTCACTGAAGGATGACATGGGGGGTTTAAGACCAGAGCTGAGGGAGGAGGAACTGAAGAAATGAGATGAGGAAAGTTATGGTAAATTCCTTCAGAAAAAGGCTTGTGTATTCTGCCAGTGGTGGGAGGTGCAGTGGTGTTGGAGCTGACTTGGCCCATGATGTTTAAATTCAAGAGTGTTCGACAACAGCCGTCCCTTACCTGTTACTGACAAATGAGTACATGAGTAGTCGCTGCTCAATAAACCATTTCCACTCAGGGTTTTCATTCTGAAGATCCCGGTAATTGTCATTGGAAACAATGACTCCATCTTTCTCATAAGCAACTTTCACTATATAGCGATCATCATAGCAAACTACCCTCTTGCCTTTCACCTTCCGGGATGGGGTGTACACGAGGATCGATTGCTTCTCGAGCTCTTCAAGGATGTGCTGATCTGGTGGGATGGTTGGCAGAAATAGAAGGGGATTAAAAATTAGCAAGAGAAACTAATTAACTAACAGTGACCGGCTCTCAAAGACATGCTAGAAACCTGCAGGAATCTAAAGAAGTTTTGGCAGTGTAGGCAACTGACAGTGATGTGACTCTCAGATGCATTGATATCTGGTGACTATTTGACAACTTGAAAATTAGGGGTTTTTACAAAACAGCCTACTTCTAAAATGTGAGACACTCTTTTTTTTTGATGTCTATCTGTAAAGGATGGCTTGAATTCTACACCAGGGGCATTCTGAACCACTGTAGCGTCCTTTTTACCCTGCTAGATAGCTCATAATCAGTCCCGATATGAGCTTTACTTAGAGGTAAAATGTGCCTGATAAAATAAACAGATAAAAAAATAAACTTATTCTTCTGCTATTTTTCCTCTATGCCGAAAGGTGGATCTCCAGCCACCTCATCTGAAGGCACCAAACCGCTGGCACAAAGCTGGCAAATTTTTTTCCATACAAACTAAATTTCACCACCCTCCACAGCCTTCAGCTGATGCATTTCTTTCTCCTGGAAGAGGAACCTGTGCAGCTTCTCCATCAGATAATAGTAATGCAATAGTGAATGCTTTGGCTACTGCCACCTTTGGATAATGTGTGCAACCATATCATTGTCTCCTGGCTGGCCTTAAAAGCTCTGCAGACTCATTGCAAGCTGAGAGACTCCTTTAACTCAGCTGGCAGCAATTTGTGCTTGTAAAGCAAAAGGTTCAAAGCCGTATAACAAAGCCTTGTAAGCAGATTTATCTGCTAGCCAAGCATGTGAGGCAATAATGACTAATTTAAGTGACAAAATCCTGATACACAACTTGCACTTCACTTATCTCTATGGGACAGAACTGTACTGTTCACACCCCCTGTCTCCAAACTGCACCTACTGGTTGCCAAATGATGCCCAGGACGGGGACCTACCTGCAATGGGACTCTCTTGGCGAGGGGGCTCCTTCCTCCAGAGTGGGACGAAAACCTTGATGTACGTGTGCCCCCTCTCTCGAAACCAATCCACTGCCAGCTGGATCCCCCAGCAGGAGAACACCTCTTTGTTTCCGTGACTATAATAAAAACCATTTTTTAGTAGGAAAAGGATGGTGAGGCAAAAGTTTCAAGAAGCTGAGTTCTCTTTAACTGAGCCACTAACGAACAGGCAAAACAAACAGCTTGTGAGTCATTCACCGGTTTCCAAGAAAACAGCCTGGCAGGGTGTCCTGGATGGACAGAGCCAAACACTTCCTCCAGCAGAACAAAATACTTGTTATCTGAAAAAGTTTGGATGCTTAAAAACAGAGGTATCCTATCCCCCATATCTATGACCTGCAGCTACCCAAGCCTGTTGCCCATGCCTGTTTCTTCCATCTGTATTTGGATGGACTTGGGGCCTAGAGTACCAGAAAGATATTGGGCTGTGTCAGACCCTTCACGTGCCTTGTCTAGTAATGGTTTGAGGAGCGAGAGGTTCTTCCAGCACAAGCAGAAACCATGAGGATCTCTTATGAAACAAAACATGGGTATTTTCTTCTGTCGTAACAGTGACATCAGGGATTTTAATGTCTGAAGAGGCTGCAATTGTGATCACAGGCCATTCAGCTGCTAACTTCATCTGGAAACAGGAGTCGAACTATGGGGGAAGCAAAGCTATAAAAGGCAGATTGGGAAATGCAGAAACTCTAACCCAGGACTCCAAAAAAGGGACAAGACCTCAGTGGAGATAGCCACAGGCACCTTGGGCACATGTTTATCTTGCCCTAGTTGGTGGATTTTGTTTTCATTGCACAGAGAGGTAGGAAAGTCCTGGGACAGGTGCTGCAGAGGATGCAGGCAGGGTGGCTTCTAGAGCAAGACACAGAAAACCTCAATAAAAACAATTAGGGGTGGTATCCTTCCTAAGTTCCCTCACCTTGAAAGTTCTTATTGCTTGTAATTTGCTACAGAGCAGTGCACTTGTAAGGGTGCATTTGTTAACCATTTCTGCACAAAGAAACAAAACCAGACTCTTCACAAAGTCCTAAAATGGATAATAGTAATGCAATAGTGATTGCATTAAATGCGCTCCCAGTATCTACACAAACCTCGTCCTTGTACTTTGAGCTTGCTGGATAGTATTAACACAGTCTCACTCAGGCTTTTACCTCTGCAAATGGACTTGTAAATGACTCACTGGGTTACTACACCTACCTGCAGCGATGGACCAGTCAAGGTCGATGCCACAGTCCTAAATGCCTCTCCCACTGTCCCCCAGGAATTCATCTCTAGATTCTGCCTACATCAATCTCAAAACCAAAGCTCCATTTTACACTAAGAAAAGTTTCAGTGCTGAGACGGTGACCACAAATGAAAAACAATACAGTTTGGAGGAAGAACCTGGGGCGGGGTTATGAATAGATACCCAGGCAATAGGAAGTCTTAATAAACTCTCACCAATAATGAACTGTCTGAAGTGCTCGACACATCTAACATCCATTCTGGAACAGCTGTTGTGTTTGGTTTTAAAGAATAGGATCTGCCCAGGATATGTGTAAAGTCACCTGGAGAGATGAACTGGAAATTCTGGTGACTTTTTCAGATAACTGCCATTAAAAGGAAGTCTAGGTACATCTTCAGTGTCATTACTCAAACAAAATCCAGCAACAGCCTGTTTCAACATTGACTACTCATATGTATAATCCTGTCAGCTTTAGGAAGGGAGATCTAGATATGCCCCCAGTGCAGAAGGTAAAGAGCTCAATCACAAGCGATTTGCCCAAAATGCCAAGCACAACAAGCAAGAAGAGGCACCTGGAACTGTTTCTCAGTGTTATCAGTTAATCCAGTTGCTGCTACATTGCTACAGCCAAACCTGGGGAGTGTATATCTAAAATAGTATGTACCGGGATGGTGCATGGAAGGGTCAACACAACTGAACAGCAACGTCTGCTGTGCAATAGAGCAGGGGCTTCAAAATCTTACATTCTCCCTGTGTCATGAGTCTGTGCTGCTTGACACAGACTAGCTCCTGTCAGTCACCTTTCCCACACACACCCACAGTCCATGGACCATAACTGATCTGGTGTAACTCACTCCCGTCTCTCTCCCTCCTGCCAGCAACAGGGTACATTGCACTCAGGTCACAGACCAGCAGGGCCCATCTTTCAGAAGCTGAAGCAGCAATTTGGTTTCACTGTGACTCCAGCGATTAATCCATAATTAGCACACAGTGACTCCCTTTTAAATTGTGCAATTCCGACCCTTCTGAGAGATATTTAGTCAAAACACCTCCCTTTGAAACTGCAAATGGCACCATTTCCATATGGTTATGACACAGCATCCGGCACAGCTTTGATGAAGAGAGAGAGACCAAGGTAGGACTCCTCTGGCCCAGGAAGAAAACACCGTACGTATCACTAAGCTTGCTAAACCATCCTGCCTGCTTCCCGTGGACAGGCAGGAGATAGGTAAGCTTCTCATTACATCTGAGGGAAACACAGAGTGTACTGAGATGCTTGACTAGTGAGACTGGCTGAAGGCAAGGTTATTTTCCATAGCTAGCTCAAGCCATCTGTAACAATGCTTGTCTGAAATAACCTCTGTCCAGCAAGCTCCTGTGCACAGGCTGGCACAGCAGGGTGGTCTCAGAGCTTTCCCAGAGTATTCCAAGATCAAAACATGCACTGTTTTGTTAGCTACCGAACTATGCTGGGCCTCCTGCTCAGTGGCAAGGGCACATCTTCTTTTCCCATGGAAACAATGCTGTTCTCTCCCTTGTTCACTTCTAAAAAAGCCCCAGCAAATCTGTGAAGACAAGGCTGTGTCCAGAGAATGGAGCACATGGCCGGTCAGGGGTACTATTGCCCTTAACACTATGAGAAGGTTGGTGCTCAGCTCAGGCACTTCTTTTGCAGAGAGACAAGGACACCATAAGGAGGGTCTAGGGTGAAAATGCAAATGGGGCAGGAGATCATAAGAGATGTCTACCAAGCTCCTGGCCCAGCCAAACTGAGCGATTCTGCTCTGTTCCATACTTCTCATCCATGAGCTGCACTGAGTGAGGGACCGCTCAGTTTTGGGTGGGATTTCTCCCTACATCCAGAAGATGGCATAATTTGCTTAGTCTCCAGTTGCTCTCGATGTGCTGCCTACCTTTGCCCTCTAACCAGAAGGGATGTGGTCTCACCTCACGCCAAAGCTAACCCTCCCCTGCCCGGTCCCAACCTGCAGGGACGGGCTTGGCCTTGCTGAGTGGACAGGGAAGTTAACAGGGAAAAACTGAGATAGCCAGTGCGTCCTGGACTGTCACAGCCTCTGGCCCTTGATATTATGCACATAAACAGAGGGAAACCCATTGCTGTCTTTGGATTTCCTATCCACATGGATGTGCCAGGCTCTCCACCAGTAAGAGTGCTTTCAGGATCAGGACACTCCTTAGGAAATGTAGTTGGCCAGGATGAGATGCTGTGAAACATGAACAGAATTAATAAAGGAGGAAACAAGACTATTCAGTACACATCAACTATCAATTCCCTGATATTTCTATAAAAATGAAGTCAAACCAAAACCCAACAAAAAATATACAATCCAGGAACATTGCTGAGGTTTACTTGCAAGTCAAAACAGTACAACCGTGATGTTGTTAGGAACCACAGTAACCCATCTTTATTTTCCCTCTCCTTCTTAGGTTACTTAGGCTGTTCTAGCTGTTGACCAGTTTTCCCTGGAAACACCTCCACATATGGGTTTAGAAGTCCTAGGTACCCGTTTGAAAAGACAGAGAAACATGAATTCCTTTTAGGTGAACTAAAAGGGAGAGAGAGCTGCTGAATTGTACAGCAATAAACAGTAGTGGTTAGCTAGCTGTTGGCTTATAAAAGGTCAAAGTGCAGAGTGAGCCAGTGATTGCATCTGGCCTGTGTGTTTATGGGCAGAGAGACAGCAGGTCCCTAGAAGCTGTGCCTCAGCCAAAGAACAGGAATAAGCGGTTGTTCATACATTATACGTCAAATACATCAGTGCGCGTCTCACCTGAAGAAAGCATGCTTCAAGCCATCACCCTTAAAATTCAGAACTTCACAGGAATAGAATCATAGAATCAGCTAGGTTGGAAAAGACCTGTAAGAGGGATCCCTTTTATGAAACACAGCTTACCTCATTGCAACATTGCTGCCGTCAATCACAATGGGTCTCAAGTAATCAGAAGAATCACTTTCACCTTCTCTGAGCCACTTTGACCCTGGTGCAGTGCTGGATGATCCACGGGCAACAAGTTTTAGTGCAGAAGGCTGAGCTTGGCTCTCCAGAGCTTGAGGTCTGCTCCCCATCCGAATCAGCTCTTTCAGCACATCATCCACCAGGGCCTCTTGGCCCAGGTTCTCCAGCACTTTGCAGATGTCCTGCTTACCATAGCCCAGCTTGCAGAAGAAATCCATCTTGCTCTGGTGAGCTTCCACCCTTGCTGCAGAAACTTCTCCAGAGTGCGGTGGTACTGGTTTGCTAGGAAGCGAACTGGCCAGTGCCATCTTAGCAAGTTCCTTTAAACCCACTGCTCCTGTCTTCCCAGCCTTGTCCAACAGGGATCAGCTTTAAGGAGGGAGAGATCACAAACAACAAAACACAGGTTTTAAGGAAGAACTTTCAGTTGCCTGCCCAGTGTACAGCAAAGAGACTATCTCATCTCTGAAGAGACTCTCCAGTCTTCTCTCAGCATTAAAGCATCCTTCTGGTCCATGCTTGTTTATAAAGCACTGGAGTGTCCCATGCAACGCTTGTCACGTTCCAGGAGTTATGTCAGACAGGTGTCATCCTACTGCATGAGCTATGCAAGCCTGTCTGTACACAAACACACTGTATGCGTAGATGTGTTCTTCAGACTTATCTCACAGGAAGTGATACGAAGGACGGTGTAACTGGGGATTTTCAGTGTGCTCAGTGTGGTTTGCCAGCCACCGATAAAGATCTGTTGAGTGTTGTTGCATGGGCTCAGATGCCATAGTAACTGGGCAAGTGTAGCCAAAATTCATTGAGCAAGTTAAGGAAACATTGTTTGCGAAGTACCTGGGAGCCCTGAATGGTTTTTTACAGTTCTGTCTTTCCTAGTATGTGCCCATCTGTGTAATACAGACAGCCCTTACGAAACTCTGTCACTTATCTGTTCCCATGATGCCTGACTTACTCTTTTCCTGTTATTCACTGTTTCAGGGAGGACTTTTACATTCAAAGAAGCAGCTTGTTTTGTGAAAGCCGTCGGGGCAGCGGTTGGAAGCAGCAATTTGAGAAACACTTTCAAATTCACTTACATTTATAGTCTGATAATTCAGAAATGAGTGTACAGAAGTAGCAGAAAGCTGCTTGAAGCTTCTCCAGAGCTGCACTGTTTGCATTTCTGGTCTAAACAGTAAATGAAGGTGATGGGCAGCATATACAGACATACTCAGAGCTGCCTCAGCCCAGCAAGCGTGATAAGAGAAGGACATACACAGTGACCACTCATCCATCAAGCCAAATTTCTCTGGACACTGTTGGCATACTTGCACCAAAGCTCCTCTTGCCACATCTGTACAACTATTGGTGCCATCTGAAAAAGCTGTGGCTGGCTCATCTACCCACGTGTAGCACGTAAGGGTACACTATACTTCACTATTTGTGGTCAGTAAATGACGCAGAATTAATTGACCAAACAACTACCTCCATGACAAGCCCAGGGCCATGACCACGTTGCATTCACTGGCTCTCCTTCCCAGATCATCTGGCACACCGAGGCACTAAGAACTCCCTCCCTGCTCCCTGAGCTCTGGGGAATAAACCTGCATTGGGTTCACTAAATTTAAAACTGATTAGTTCAGCAGGAAAACATGGTAATTAGTTATAACCCCACCTTATACAACTTTGACCTTTACTTTTCTACGTAGCCTTATAACTTTCAGGTGTAAGTAGTGGTAAAAGCAGTGATTACATTCTAATTCCTCATCTTGAATGACGTTAAAGAACAATTCTTGCCTAGTCTTCCTCCAGGAGTTTGCTCCACTTGGGAACCACCTGAGCAAGGCCAGGTGCCCCGCAGGAATGTGTTTAAGCAGCACTTCCACTCCAACAGCCTCGGACCACAGAGGGGTGTGGAGCTCCTCAAAGCCCCACCACAGCCCAGTCCTGCCTGAGCAGAGGCAGCGGGGACATGGTCCCTGGCAGACCTGGTAATGGTCAAGGCAGGGCAGGTTTGGGTCTTCTCTAAACCAGGCTGCGCACCAGGTGCACAGCAACTGCTCCCTGCCCTGACAGTGTTCCGCCTCACACCATAGGTGTGGGCCACCTCCTCTATCTCCTCTGTCCCTAAGAATCACGCTGTAAACCACCTGAGTCTGCCAGCCCATTAGAGCCCTTCCATGAGCAGCCTCTCTGACAGAAGATGGGCTGCTCTGCTTTCAGAAAAACAGCAATTTTTACTCACAAACTAGAGATGCACACAGACCCTTCAAAACAAGACCAGTGATTTCATATCCTGATGACTAAGAAAAGATTCACCTGTTTCTTCCTCACCTTACCTGCTGCATTAGCCAAAAATAACAAAGCCAAGCCCCTGGAGTTCAACCTGCGCAGGTAGGCAGCCCCACTCGCCTGCACCTTACCTGCAGCTGCTCCTTCTGCATCCCAGCAATGTTGTCCCACCATTCATGAGCCAGAAGCTGAATTCAGAACAGTACCAGGCTCACAAGGAAGTCATCAGCCCGTATTTAGAGGCTTTATGGTGAGGCTGATGTCAACTGAGAGCAAACAAGTGCAGTGAGCAGGTTAGAACTCTACGGGAAGGTTTTACTTCCTCATTTGGCTGGCGGAGCTCTCATTTAACTGTGCAGGTTGATGAACTTTCACTTCAGTTTTCAAAAGGAAAAGACAAAAAAGAGAGAAGAGGTGGTTCCCAACACATCTCAGATCTGTGACAGGCAAAGATTAGTCAGACCCACTTTGGCCGGGGTCCACAACAGTAGGCAATAAGAAAAGAGCACATGAATTCTGGGTCAAGTAAAGATTTTTCCACCAGGGATGCTCTCCCAGGTTATTTCAGGCTCACTCCTGGCGTCAGGAACATTTCTGACCCTCAGGAATACATGAAAAAAAAAATTTTAAAATCAGCATTTTTAATAGCATCTGATGGTGCAAAGCCTCATTCAAGCACCTCCACACCTGAGGGACCCTGTGCTGGGAGACTGCAGCAGAATAGCAAAAACCAGACAAGCCCTCCTAACCTACGGATGCCTCCATCAAAAGGCCACTTCAGAGACACGCAGCCTGTTCACAGCAAAGACCGACAGCCGCTTATCGACAGAAAGCTGAGGTTTTCTTTACTTGTTCCTTTCCTTGCTGCAAACAAATATGCCCCAAATACACTTTGAGGCAGCAGGAAATGTTGGGAACTCAGTAGGGGTTAACCTCTGGGACCATTTGGATGCTGCAGACTGCTCTGCCCACAACTCTGCCCCTCTGTGGAAGGAGAGCACCTCTGCCACTGCTGCAAGGTGACACATCAGATCTGGGCTGCCCCTTCCCAGCCAGAAATACAGGCATACTTTGTGGGAGGAAGCCAGGTGGCCAAACACTTTTGCAGTGACATCCTCTTTAATCCAAAGAACGGCTGATGATGAGCAAGCCTTCCCACCACTTCCCAGCTGTTTCCAGTCATGGTTATGTCTTTACATTGCACCCAGGCTCTGGGGAACTCCCTGGGACCCTCCTGCAGTGCCTGGCAGTCATGGGATGGAAAGGCAGCACACTGCCCCATCTCTCCTGCCTCTGTCACAGAACCTCCTCTGACCCACAAAGGTCCAGCCGGGGGGGTCAGTGGCTACAGAAACAGGAAAATGTTCCTAAGATCACAACTAAAGAAACAGGTTGACTTTCTGCTACTGGAACAGCCGCTATGCAAGCAGAACACCCGGAGCCTTTGACTCTTCTTTGCTCCATTTAAACTTGCAGAACGCCACACACCTCATCACAAGACCACCACAAGGCAGTAATACTGGAAAGGAAAGAGAAATTTGCTGTATTTATAACCTAGGAAGGTGATGGAGCAAAGCACATGACATTTCATAGTATCATTTTAACTCCTACTTCTCACTAACAGGTGTTTTTTTACTGCATAAATAAGAACAAACAGGAGCTTATAAAAAGAAATGAGAAGGAAATCATATAGGAGAATTTTGCACTTGTCTTTCATTTGTAAGACATGACTAAACCCGTTGCTGTAAAAGCCATCAGCAAAAGACTTCAAGATCATTCAAATCACAGCCAGGAAGACCCTTAACTAATTCCTGAAATCTGTTAAAAGCCTTTTCATTAACTGAGACAGGAGACCATGAGAAACAAAGGAGCATATTTGATTTCTCAGATGATCTCAAAACCTTTTGCTCACCAGCACAGATATACATCTGAGACACCAAGGCTGTGGTTTCAGTGTGTTGGGTTTCCTGGGGTAGAATTCATTTTCCTCATAGTAGCTGGTATGGGGCTGTGTTTTGGATTTGTGCTGAAATAACACAGGGATGTTTTCATTACTGCTGAGCAGAGCTCACACAGAGCCAAGGCCTTTTCTGCCTTCTCACCACCCCAGCAGTGAGCAGGCTGGGGTTGCATAAGAAGCTGGGAGGACACACAGGCAGGACAGCTGATCACAACTGACCAAAGGGATATCCCGCACCACATGGTGTCATGCTTAGCATATAAAGCTGGGGGAAGAAGGAAGGAAGGAAGGGGGGGATATGATGTTCTGTGTGGAGACCTCATAGCAGCCTTCCAGTATCTGAAGGGGTGCTATAGGGATGCTGGGGACGGACTCTTCATTAGGGACTGTAGTGACAGGACAAGGGGTAATGGGTCAAAACTTAAACAGGGGAAGTTTAGATTGGATATAAGGAGGAAATTCTTTCCTGTTAGGGTGGTGAGGCACTGGAATGTGTTGCCCAGGGAGGTTGTGAATGCTCCATCCCTGGCAGTGTTCAAGGACAGGTTGTCTAGAGCCTTGGGTGACATGGATTAGTGTAAGGTGCTCCCTGCCCATGGCAGGGGGGTTGGAACTAGATGATCTTAAGGGCCTTTCCAACCCTAACTATTCCATGATTCTATGTTCAGAGTGATGGCGTCTGCCTTTCCAAGTAATCATTAATTGTGATGTTGCCCTGCTGTCCTGGAGATGGCTGAACACCTACCTGATGATGGACAGTGGTGAATGAATTCCTTGTTTTGCCTTGCTTGTGTGTTCAGCTTTTGCTTTACCTATCAAACTGTCTTTACCTCAACCCGTGAGTTTTCTCACTCTTACTCTCCTGATTCTCTCCCCCATCTCACAGGGTGGAAGAGAGGAAGTAGGTGTGTGGGGCTTAGTTTCCAGCTGAGGTTGAACCACAATTGTTCTTTTTGGTGCCAACAAGGGGCCCAAAGGGCTCGAGATCACAACAGATTTGATTGGAACGTGCTAGATTGAATTTATAGCTGTCACTGCTGTTGAGCTATTAACAGACAGGCTCCTGCACTTGCCATAGGGCTTGCTTGCCTCACTGTATCTTAGAGACTAGTGCTCTTTTGTGGCTGCTCTTTGCTTTCACCCCTCGCTGCACTGCTGTGCTGCTGTGTTTGGGAACATTCTGGTAACAGCAGTGGTGATGCTCCTGGGCTGGTGGATGTTGCAGCTCCTGGAGGCTATACAGAGGACCAAGCATGACTTTCATGCAGGCTCCCTGTGCAAAACCAGTTTCCTGATGGTGTTAGACTTTCATGTGGAAAAAAACATGCTCTCGAAACTGGCAGTGGTGAACACCACAGGTGTTTTGGCCTACACACCCCAGTGAGTATTTGCTTTGCTAAAGGAAACAGTCATTTATTGCATCAGCACTGAGAAAAGTGTTATTACTGTCTTCCTCATCAGAAAAAGTTGCTGGGAAAATCAAACAAGCGTGGATGGCTGTATTGCAGAGAAAAATCTTTAGCCCATAACCAGCAGGAGACAGTCAGGAGAAAGCAAGTGCTCAATCAAGTGTAGGTCTATTGATGGGGATATTTTAAATAGTTCCTAGAACTAATACATACCCATCCTGCCTCAGGCATTTCCTTCTGCCTTCAGCACAGCCTGGGTCAGACCCTCAAGCTGTACTCCTCCAATTCCGCCTCCTGGCTTGCTAAGAACAACAAGGCTCCCAGTTTTAAATGTGATTTTTACACACTATTAGGCAAAGTCTAGATGTTTTCTACCAGGGAAATTCTCTCCCTGTTGGAGACACTGGAAATTGACTGGGAGGCAGGCATTCACCCCCAAAATTTATATCCCAAACTTAACTTTAGGTCCTGCTGGATCGGTTATTGATAGGCGGCCCTGATAAGCAGCTGGTAAAGGGCCAGTATCTTTAGAAGAGGTATTTTCACATGCTTGCCAAAAAGACCATCTTTTCTCCCTCTCTGAAGCCATGCCACAGTAGTGAGCACTCCATCTGACCACAGAAGAGGGAGAACAGAGAAGAGCTGATTTCAATAACACAGCCAATGGCAACTTCTTTTACTTCTTGGAAAATGACAATCCCATTTTAAGATCCGAGGTAGCAGGATCCCAGCTTGGTTTTGCCTAAAATATCTATTTTCCTCTGTCTTCTATAAAAAAAGATACTGCTATCACTCAAGCACTTTCCACTGGGCTTACAACAAAAAGTACCTTTTACAGTCAGAAAGTCCCAAACAGGTTTCAAGTTCAAAAGTTTACTGCTGTTCAGTTTAAGATTTCAGAAAGCTCTTGGAACTGCCTTTCAGCTTTGAGAATTCATCATATGCTTGGGAGACCTAAACCTTAATACAGTTTGCTGATGCCTTTTAACACAAGCTACTGTGTTTAACCAAGATGATACTGGCTCGCTCACCACAACAAAGTACATTCTATCAGTAACCCGCCCAAACGTTTCCCACAAGAACAGTGCCCCGTAGCAGCTATTTACATGAATCTTACTGTAACTTAACATTTTTTTCAAATTGCTTATTCTGCACCTATGTATGATTGATAAGAAAGCTATTATCCACACTCTAGGAAGCATACACACCCCATAATCCTGTCATCAATAACACAAGTTCTACGTGAAAAAAAAATCACATAGAAGGGCAAGACGATCTTAAGGTCTTTTCCAGCCCTAACTATTCTATGAACAAAGAACAGCAACAGATTCAGGAATAACTTGTGAACTTCTTGAAAATTTTGAATATAACATCTTTAATTACATTAATTCTTAACATAATTAATATGCTTGTCCAAATAACTGGTATGGGCGGAGCTTCATTTTGTTGTTGTTACTTGGGTCATTGGTCTGGGGACTTTTTAACAAGTGGAAGGTAGCAGGTATAGCTTTACCTACAGAGAGTAAAGCTTCTTGGCAGCCTAGAACCCAGGACACATGGCATGCTTTGCCATAAACACACTCATGTTCTTTGAGAAGCCATCAGCAAGAAGGCCGACAGCCATCAGGCAGAATACACACCAGTATGAATGCAGGTTTAGCATGAATAGTTTTTTGATAACTACTTACTGTGCCACCCATCCTGGAATAACAACCACTTACCCTTACAATCCTTATGCTACTTCTACTGACTTGTGTGATACCCATGAGATTAAAGAGAAATCTCTATTGAAAAACCCTTGCTTCTCTCACTTGCCTTTAAGACCAGAACCTTTATATATCATGGTTCTGGTCAAGTCCACCTCAAGTCTAGAGAGAGCTGCAGAGAATTGAAGGAACTGCAATGTGGGACTATAAAATAGGCCTCCAACTTCCTCTTATCCACATAATACAACAGTTAACAGAGTCTACATCATATTTTTATGTTGTTACAGATAAGGAAATCCAACAGAAAACTCTAAGGAGCTGGCTTATAAGCCTTTAAACCACTGAACAGAGAGCCTAAAGCATGAAGAGTTCCCTTTCAAACAGGCCTCAGTGAAGTTGAAGTGAAGCAGCTGATGCTTCTGTTTCAACATTTTCAATGTTACTTTCAACATTACAGGGGAACTTGGGGGGTTTTGTTCTATTTTGGTTTTTACCACCACAAGCACCAAAGGTCAATATTGAAACTGTGATTGGAGTTAGCACTGACAAAATGGAAACAAGGATAGGGAAGTGTGAACTCTCATTAGAATAAATCAAGTCAAGTCTCCAGCTCCCAGATAGTAAGAAGCCTTGCGCACTCCAACCCCTCTGGCAGGACAGGAAAAGCAGGAAATGCTTGTGGTTTTGGCTGACCATACAGGCCACCTGTATCACTTTCTGAAGAACCACATGTACACAGCCATAACTTCCGATGATCATAGCAGTAAATCCCATCTAACCCATAGTGCTCCACCATCCATGTGTGTACCAGGTGAACTGTGATCCCTCACAGTTAGCAGAACAGCCTAGAAATGCAGTCTTAGGTGGCAGTAGCTAACATTAAGTACTTGCCTCCAAACAGGGAGCTTTATGTGTCATGTAATCACCTATTAATATCACCCATTTTGAACATTCACATTTTGAAAGTTTTATTTTAAAAATATAAACAGATAATTTTGTCCATCTGAAGTTACTGCGTATTTAAAAGCACTACGGCATCCTGAAGATCAGAAACTTGAAACACTTTGCATATATTTAATTTCTAACCCTTTATTCTGAAGATTTTTTGTTCGCCAATGCAAACCGACTTATTCCTTCTATACACTCATCATATAAACTTCTAGTTCTTACACATTTCATAGAATTGTTAGAGTTGGAAAGGACCTTAAGATCATCTAGTTCCAACCCCCCTGCCGTGGGCAGGGACACCTTATACTAAATCATATCACTCAAGGCTTCGTCCAACCTGGTCTTGAACACTGCCAGGGATGAAGCATTCACAACCTCCCTGGGCAACCCATTCCAGTGTCTCACCACCCTAACAGGAAAGAATTTCCTTCTTATATCCAACCTAAACTTCCCCTGTTTAAGTTTTAACCCATTACCCCTTGTCCTATCACTGCAGTCCCTAATGAAGAGTCCCTCTCCAGCATCCCTATATTTATCTGTTACAAGAAATAAAAAGCCATTTCTGCTGCAGAAAAGCCAGCACATTCACCTGAAATAGGGTGCTTGTTTCTATACATCAAGAAGTTCTGCATGTCATACAGGTGGTTGGCGGCTAGCTGAAGTTGGAGTCTGCTGAAACTCTTCATGCTGTTAAGTCACTTTTACCATCTCTCCAATGAAAGGATCTCCCGTGTTCATCAAGAATCCCATCTTTTTCTCAGTGGAAGCTCTTTTTCTATGTCAAGAATGCAGTTGCTTTACTACCTCCACATCCTTGTCGAATTTGCCAGTGTTTTTTTCACGTTTAAAACCATGCTGTGGAAAGGAACTGAGAACAGTATGAGACAGTGCAAACCCTGTTTCTTCAACAAAGCAGGCTGAAAGCAGGAAGAGCTAGACAAAATCTACAGCCTCAGCAGCACCACCCCACATGCATCATATCGTGGCCTAGCGCAGTCCTTCGGAAGTCTTCCTATCCCCAAACTGAAGGCAGGAATCTTCCAGAGAAAGACTCACAAAAACAGGCTTCCTACTTATTCCCCCTCTGGGGCAGCAGGCCCTGCACTCTTGCTCAGCCTCTGCAAGGATGGCGCAGGCCCCTGCAAGTCACCAATGGCTTAGAAAGCTTTTGTCAGGAGACAGTTATGGAAACCCTTGATTTCCAGTTCCATGCTTCGAAGCAGACAGAAGTTAGAGATTCATCAAAAGGCAGCTTCTAAGCCAAATAAACTCAAGTCTTTAACAAAGCAAAGAGAGGGTAGAGGCTAGTGGAAAGCACATTCCGGTATACAACATCCTCAGCATTCCTGCTCAGCTTGGGTCTGGATATGATAGGCATCTAGCCTGGCCTGCTTTGTCAGAATCTTTTGCCATGGGGTAAAGAGCTGCTTTTTACCTTTAGTACCAGTCTTCCCACAAAAGCATCTCAATCAGAAGTTCACTTTCTGCATACAATCCATTCAAATGGCAGCCAGCCAGGCATTTGAATGTGCAACAACTCACTGCCTTGAATTTTAGATTTACTCTTTGTCCTGCAGATCATGTTCCAGTAACAGGTATCAAGCTATAAAATCTTATTACAATCAGACACTACAGCAAGGAACAGGGAAAAAAAACACAATCACAAAAGGAAAAAGTTAAATTTATTCATCCAAGCAGGCTGCCTCTGAGCCATCACACATTTCATGGGTGGGAAGGAAAGACAACTACTATTCCTGACATGTCCCCTCCCCTCCTAACAATACAAATCTCTCCTCTTCTGGAGATGAAAAGGAGGACATGCATTTTCTTAAACTGTGTGTATACACTGTTTAAATGGTGGGGAGAAAAATCAGACATTTAAGACTCTGCCAACTTTCACTAAGACCCAAGCTCTGATAACATCGTGTTCCTCTGTAGATTAAGAGTTATTAACTGACTTACTTCTGCCACAAAACTTGAAAATTAATCCCATCTAGGTTTGGCAAATACAATCCAAGTTACACATTCTGCTTTTCTGCTAACTCTGCTAATGACTATTTTCTTTCTTACCTTTCTCCCCCTAACCTGCCTGACATCATAGCAGCTGGATCCCCCTGACATTGCAGAGTCCAGATCTTTAACAGTGACTACAGATGGACAAGTATCAAGTGAACCTCAGTTCTAAGAGGCATCCTCCAGCAATGCCATACAGCCAAGTGACCTACAAATATGTGATCAAGTAAGTGCAATTGCCTTAGCATGGTGCAGCAATTCCATGGCCCCGGCAATCAGCACGGCAGTACTTCAGTGCCTTTAACCACTGCTACACAGTGGTATCAGCAAACATTGCTGATGGGACTAAACCATCCAGAAGCACATACTTCTAAAGGAAGGAAATAAAGAGTGCTGAGTACAAATGGTACCTGCCCACCTTTTGGAAGGAGGGTGCACAGCACATTTCTGTCTCCTCAGGTCTTCTATCACACTCACTACCATAGCATCTGAAACTGCTGAAAGGTAAATACAACTTCCTTGTAGAAAGAAGGTATGTCCTGCACATCTCTCCACAGTGGAGAAAGATAATTCACTCATTAGTGCATGGTTATGTTTCCCAATGGCTTTAGACAACATTCTTTATTGGAGACTCAAACCATTCCACTAACATGAAATACTTTATTGAAACCACCTTTTTGGCATCAAGGCTTACTCCGACACAGAACTGTAAGGCCAAGCTGCCAACAGAAGGCAACTGCTTTTATCCAGTAAGTGCACATCCATTTAAGAGAATATTGGAAATGCTGGAAAGAAGCACATTTTAGTTCCCTCTCTCTTTTCCTTATCCTTCATCTGTACTTGGACCTCTCTTTTGATTTCTTAGGACTTCTGGGTTTGTCTGCTTTTTTGTCCCAGTCTCTTACTCGGAAGTCCTCTCTGTATTTGTCTTTTTGTTTACTGTAAGAATAGTCTCTCTCTTGAGATCGGCTGCGACTCCGATGCCTGTCTTTCCTCTCGCTCCTCATCTTCTCTCTACAGCGTTCTCCTTCATGCTTTCGCTCAGAATCCTGTAAAAGAAATTGGATAGATATGCAAGTTACAGACAAAAGGGGTAAATACAGAAAGGCATGAAGAGAACTAGAAGTCAGGCAAAGTTGGTTCCTTAGCTAAGGCTGGTACTTTCTGGAATACATTCACATCCATGATGTGAAAAGGTAACACATAAAAACCCCCGCTGTAACTATATGAAGAAGATAGGTCTAAAGTTTTTGCCAGCTTTTATGGAAAAAAGCATGGCTGCTAGGCATACTGCTGCTTGTATTTCCTAAGGAGCTTTAGTGAAAACTGGTTATACCAGAGATTCAACTCAGATGAATATTGTCAAACTCTTCATAAGCATCACATGAGCTTCTAAGCCAGATTTGAATTGTGACTTATCTGCGCAATGCAAGTACTTCCATCATAGGTTTTGGTTCAAGCCTCACAGGCATTCCGGTACTATGAAGATGCAGAACACTTCCTAAGACTGCCTGTAATAATCCTCAATGGCCTAAATTCTAGGCCTCAGAAAAATTAACGACACCATTACAGAAACCTCATACATGCAAATCTCTTCCCTGAAGCTAGAAGTCCACAAGAAATTCAGCATGATGAATCCAATCCTTTTAAATGTACTGTCAACCAGTAACACAAGGTGTAGGAGTTGAAATGGAAATAACAAATTAATGAAAAAATCAGTTGCATTTTGCAGGCTGCTGAGAAAGACCCATACAGAAAACATATGGGAATACACACAGATATAGTAAACTCTAAGGGGTTCAAGCCTATCTAATTTAAATGGCCTAAGAAGGAGAGACCAACAGTATGTACCACAAATGGTAATGGGGTTTGAGCACACACACACAAAAACTCATGGAAAAAAAAAAAAAATGCTGTGAGTTCAGGTAGCCAAAACTGAGGAAATTCTGAATTTCCCTGGCTTTCTGCATGTTGTCACCAAGAATGTTGACTGGGTGGCTCAGTGCACAGAATGTATTTGCTCCAGAGAGAAATGAAGTTTATTTAACAAAGGGGGAATGGCTGTCAGTAGGACACCTGCTTTTCGTGTTGCCCTAGGCAGACAGTATGAAACCAGTGTATAGTAAATGAAGGAACGATGGCCCCATTACTCAGATTGTGAAATGTCACACTAACAGATTAGGGCAATATGCTAAAATGACTGTGTGGAGACACCAACACCTCTACAAGCCACAGCATCACAGCAGTTTTAAAAGTAAAATGATAAAAACCATTTAGGAAGTTGCCATTTCATTTCAAGGAACTCTAAAGAATTAATACACAACGCTTTGTGTATTCGCATGAGTTTTGACATGCGAACTAACATTTCAAGCACTACTAAAAACTAGTTTGTTTTTATTATTCAGGTAAAGGAGGGAGCTTCAGAATCCTGAGGAAAAATATGCATACAACTTGCTATTAAGAAAGTGGCAGGTACTTCTGTTTTGAAGGCACAATCACCTTCAAGTTTGGTATCAGGTGACTGTATCAGGGCAGATACTGTTTTATGGGATTTTAATAATACCAGTGTTAAACACAGATTGGTATGAACTACGAAAAATGTCTGCAATTATTCAATATTTGTTTCTTCATTTCAGATACAACTTTCATTTTTGTGAACATGCACTCTTGACAGCAGCGTTCACAACTGTATGGCTAAAACCTGTACTGCATGCACAGACAAGCTAACTTAATTTATTTAGAAGAATAGCAAAAAACTCAACTCCAAGCAGAGCTTTTATCCAGGGAGACAGAGTCCAGGATGATTCCCAGAGCAAACACTACCTCTTAGAATTGCATAGATAATGCTGAAATACCAGTTACAAGGAGCAACATAACCCGCCTGGATCAACACATCACTAATCACAGATTTCATCCTTATCAACACAACCAAGAATTTCTACTACTGCTGGGCACTGCTTGCACTGGCCTTGGCGCACTGCTGCCTTCTTGATAGTTTGTTGCTGAAGCTTCCTCCCAGCACACGGGAGAAACAAGAGAAAAGCAGAACAGGACTCAGCTGGAAAACCTAGCAAACCAACCCTGCAGACATGCTACCAGCCAAGTCAGGGCAGGGAACAGGTTAGTGAAGACTTGAAAGTAAAAGACAAATAGCCCCTGTTGAATGCCATACAAAAGGGCAACTTGCTGAAAGGTTTAAAAGAAGTCATATGAGCATGGAGCTAGCTATGCACAATGACCTTCACAGAAACATTTAAGGTACAGATGTTCAGGGCAAGTCTGAAAATACCACAAGGTCAACACAGTAGCTAATATGACCACAGTGTAAATTAAAAGGAGGCAGTAATTTGAATTAGTAGAATGAATTGCATCTTAGTCCCTTCCCCAATCGGTTACCTTTCCCCTTAAATACGATTTTACCCTTTTGGAGTCTTTGGCACAGAAAAGACCAATGGTGTTAACACTCGAAGTTACTAAAAATAACAGTATTTTTAAATCAAATCCTTTATGCCCTATCCAAGTCAGGAACACGCTGTTTTGCCACTGGCAGAAGAAGAAAAAGATTCCTACTTAAAAACAGGCTCTCTCTTCCTGCTGAAGTTCGTATTTCTCAATCCAAGATCACAGCCTCTTATCAGTCAATGAGTAAGTTATGATCACTCCAAACCTTAACCCAGCACTGTGCTTGTGAACAGTCACAAGGAAGGAAATATCAAAAGAGGAAAAGATACTTCTCTGGAAGTTCATAACTACTTGGCCAAAAGCAGTAAATTGTCAAACAGTACCTGCAGGTAAACCAGCTAGAAATGCCATGACCACAAAAGCAGAATAAATATGCCACCTCTACATACATTAAACACACTAGTTTAAAAATTAAAAGGAGCAAATAGAGACAGCCTTTTCAGGAGGGAGATTTTGATCAAACTTGACACTAAATAGAAAGAGTGTCCAATAAGCAGTAAGAGCCGGGAACTGAAACTAGAAAAATCACTATCTCTGGCAACACCATGCACTACCGAAACCTGAAAAATCCACTGCATTGTGCTATACTCCACAGATCCAGTTATCCAAAAATAAAAAGATCCAAGGAGCAAAAAAAACACACAGAAAACTGGAAAGGGAACAAAGTCATAATACAGATCTCAAGGAGAAGCATGCCCTGTATTCAAAAACCTCTACTAAATCCTATTCATAAACCTAAAGGTAAGTCCAGCCTTGTGCTCCAGACCCACAACCTGTTACCTACCATAAGGAAGCCACAACACCCTACCTTGTCTACCCTCTGGAATCAAGTCAAACAGCACAAGATTCAAAAATATATTCTTAAAACATCAACACAGAGACTGAACATTCAGAAAACAGTTGGCAGACTAAAAAAAAGATGAGTCAAAATCTACTAAAAAAAAACAAACCAAACCAAAAACAAAACAGCAAGAGAACTGAAAAACCACTCAACATCATGGAAACTATTCAGAAAATAAATCCCCTTCAAGTCAGAGGTGGAGCCGGTAGCATGAATTCCACTTTCAGTTGCCAGAACTTCTCATTGTAAGGCCTTGTTCTCTGTTAATTACAATCTCTGCCACAGAAGGGGCTTAAGGTGGAAGTTTCAATATGAAAGCACGACTACTGTGGTTTCTGGCCAATCAATTGCAGAAGGTCTGCTGTTGTTTCATTTTAAAATTCTTACCTCAAATATATTCTAATATGCCTAAAATAGGGTTATGGTGAAATGCCTTGTTTGCCTATATAAAAATTCTGCCATTCATCAAAGAACCTTCCATACCATTATACTTTGTGCTGGCCTCAGTTATTCACACTGAACATACTCTGCCTCAAGAACATGCTTCCTCCCCATGGTCTTGTACCAGTTCCCCAGATTATGCCCAAATTAGAAGTAAAATTTAAATTAAAAAAAAATTTACATTTCATATATGCTAAACAGGATTTGTCAGGTAAGCTGTCTGCGGATTTAATCTGGAGAGAGTCATGCCAAAAGCACTTGCTGAATCTCTAAATGAGACTGAGTACATACTGCCCAGTATGTACACAGTATACAGTACACACTAATGGGAATATTCAAGTGCGGATAGAGAGAAAAATTAAGTTCTTCCCAGAAATTAATATTCACAGCTCCACAAGGGAACTATGTTGCTTGCCAACAGAGAATAGACGTAAGCATTCACCTGTGACTTTGGGTGTAAGAAGGCTCAGCTACCTACACCAAAATGGGTAAAGATAAGCAACAGAGAGGAAAGAAGCAGGAAAGAAGACAATGCAGCAGCAGACCCAGGAACAAGCCACAATAGGAGCAGATGACTACACCACAAAAAGATATACAGAGACACTGAAGAGATCACAGAGTGAAGTACTAGAAAATACTCTCTTCTAGAACCTGGAAGTAGCACCAGGAATCCCTCTTGTCTTTGTATTTCCATGTTACGAAATCCACTGCTAATGTGCTCCACAGTCCCCTTGAAATAGCTACAGTGAAGGTTAACAGCCTGCTGCTGCTGCTAGTGCTTGCTGTAGCACCTGCAGGGGTGGAGACACCTCAATGACTTTTAAATGTTCTCTGCTGGTAACTCATGACCAGCCATTTCCAGGCATGTAATTTCTGAACCATCAAGGACAAAGATTACTTCCAGAAATACCTGTTTCAAGAATGTTAAAACCACAGTGTCTATTGGCCAAAACAATGGGAGGAAGTCTAAACCAACATTAGCCCAGACCTATTCTATGTGTATACTCCAATTGAGACTTTAATTATCTGAACAGGTCCCTCCCCTCCACCCAAAGGATCCCAACAGAATTAGTACGCAAACAGTGACAAAAAGACTGGTACCATGAATGAGCAATAGGGCTCACTGGTGGCACTGAAAAAATGGAATCACTAATGTTCATGAGAAAAGTTATTTTTTAGCATCACAGCAAGAAGTGATGCAATGGGACAACAGAACCATGTATGCTCTCTGTACGCAGAAATTAAAGCAGCACTCAAAACTCATGCCAGGACAATGGCTTTATTTACTGTGGCTGGAACCTTACCACTTTCTGCAAAGTTGCTAGAAGACAGCTTTGCTCTCACTCATAAAGCTTGCATTGTTAAAATACTGGGGTTTGTTTTTCAGTTTAGCTCAATTCTCCCTAATGCTCGCTCTTCAGTGGGGGTTAACCCTCCACTTCATCATTGCAGACATCATTTCCATGAAACATCAACATCTTGACTATCCTGAATTCACAGGAAATGTGAGAATGCTGACCTGACAGGCTGCAGTGGAACCAGTGAATGCCAAAACTACTGTCTTCTGATGATCTCCTCCACAGCCCTAGTCCCATAGCAGCACATGTTCACACAGTACAGATGTGAGCAAACCCACATACAGATTTTACACAAATGCTTCCAAAACAGTTAAGGAAAAATAGAAAAAGATAATGAAAACAGATGTGGGAAAAAGCCAACACACACTGGTCTGGCAAGAAAATGAGGAATAGTTTGCGTTTGTGAAAGATGATTAACTACTGTGAATATGCAATCAGGTTCAAAGTGCTATAGAGCTCCTACTTTATGAGAGGCTACACTGCCTCTTCAGGACGTTTTGGCAAAAAGCCTTCAGGCATGCCAAAGCTTCAAAAGTCCAGGAAGATCTGGAAAGACTCTTTCATAATCAGACGCTAACATCAACCTTCTGTATGTTTACAATTGGTGTATTTTTCAGGACTTTGCACACCATGTGCTCAGCTCAATATCAGACTTTTTTCCTGGCTTCTCTTATTAAGAGAACAATGAACAGATATAAAGTTAATGCATGAAGAGGTAAATACCTTAGATTTTTTGGTCCTCCTGTCCTCCTCTTCATCTTCAGAGTAGTGGTGCCTTTTCTTTTTTTGTTTTTTAGCTGAGTGCGACTGACTTGTTTGAGACTCTTCTATATCCTCATCCAGCACAAGGTCATACTTGGCACTGACGGTGCTGGTTAAGGACAGATCTGTTACTCAGTATCAATTAATACCAGAACATAAAAGCTCGTGAAGCAAGCAAATCCCTGTTTATCAGACCAGGTTTTACCAAGACTTGCCACATATTTCAGTCAGAACATGACTGTACCCACTGACCAAAAATACAGGTGTGCTAAAACGACTGAATTCTGTCCTGTTGAACAGTACAGTCAGATCCCAATTCTCTTTTCTCTTCTGCCTGTGGATATCTGAACAAGCTACTGTCTTTTTTTCTCTCATGCTTACCACAACCAAATTATAATGTCAGTGCATGTTTTAGTTACGACTGTGGTATTGTTTTGGATGCTGCTTACTTAGAACTCTGTTATGCCTATGTCACTCCACAGGCTATAGACTGGGAATGTGATTTACCTGCACGAACACAGAAGTGAAACAGCACATTCTGATTTAACTGAATTCAGCAAAGTCATCAAATGAAAAACGCAAAATGCTTAATTCCACCTCAAACCCCAAATTGGCAAGCTTTAAGAGCAAGAAGTCTTTTCCAGGCTGTTTTCATAAACTACTTAGTTTAAAAAACACCTTTGGCCAGAAAAGGATACTCCTGCTTTGGTTTTACCTTCTCTTTCAGAGCAAGGTTTGAAGGTTTTGAAGGTTTCTCACATTCCTTTTCATACTCTCTGAAATCATCCTTGGTATACTGCCCACCTGTCCACAGGAAAATATATTCAATTCACTCCAACTATAAAACAATCAAGACCCATACCTATCGTTAGGTTCTGCATATTAATTAAGGGCTCTTGATAACCATACAGTTCCAGAAACAACACTGGCATCTGGGTAACAGAGTAGAAGAGAGTAGGACACATTGTTAATTTTCTGTCCTTCCCTTGCTTGCAGATCCCATTAAACGTGTTTTCTTCTCACTCATGACCAGTGGAGACAACACATGAACATGATCACAAAGCAGGACTCAGCAACTGGTTTAGTCGCATTTTGATGTCACACTACTTAAAATTCTGTTACCATGAAAGCACACAGACTGTTCTATTAAATGACTTTTTGCACTGGGCTGCACAAAAAGGGAAACCTCCAAGACGGTTTACAGCATAAGAATTCAAATGGGAAATAATAAAAAGAAAATGTCATGTCTTGATTTAAAAGGGGGTGTAACAGGTTTTGTTTTCTATCCATTCACTAGAAAAGTAACAGCTCACGCACAGATTAATAAACTAGTCTACAGCAACATACTGCCATCTCACGGTCATACTTAAATCTGCAACATTACCTGTCTAGATCAGAAATAGCTATTGCAGGTGGAAGGACAATGCTTCCTCCCAGGTCATTTTTGGAGTACCATATAGGCACAGCAAGATGACAATATAGTTAGCTTCACAATATTTAGGGCATTTTAGACCTATGTTACCCAGATGTAGAAACGTTTTCCATGCAGTCAGTTAGTACAGGACACACAGTAGAGTATGGTATAGATTACAAAGTCATCTTAGCTCTGTGAAAGAGAAGTTCCAGTACCTCAGTGCCCATGACCAGTCCCCAGGCTGGACAAATCGTATGCAAACAACTGAGAGCTGACTCCATTTTTAGGCAAAGACACACAAGAACTTCACCACTGCAGTGCACAGTCATCTCCCCAGGAACAGTGTTTTCCTCACTTCCCAAGAGCCAAGTAACCATTGCAACCACCTCTCCCACCATCTTTTTCCGCCCAGAACATCCTCAAATATATGAAATTGGGTTTTTATAACATATAGCCTGCTATGCAATACACTTGACCTACAAGGGAAATCCCTGACCTGGATACTGACTTCTTGTATACACCCAAGCGTCATACAGTGAATAAAGAAACTAGAAAGTAACAATGTACTGCCATATTATTTTGCTGGGAAGTAATATCGAAACACATCCCTTTTAAAGCTTGAGAGGAACAAATGATTTAGTGGCAAAAATACATCTGATAAAAAGGTAACCCATGGCAATGCAACCCTAATGTAACTAGTATACCCTTCCACTCTTTCTTACGGAACAAGCAAAGAGCGAGCAACTCTGTTGCTCTCTTTATTACAGTACCACAGAAATTTATATTCCTGAAGATGAGATGATTTAAACTTGTAACAATTGCTTCACTTTTGTATAATACTTAAGAGTTTAGAAGTCATGGCATATCAAGTTATGAGGACCAAAGAATCACAAGTGTACCTACCTTTTCCCTTCCACTTAATCTTTGCAACAGACTGGCTAAAATCCACATGTATTCGTCTGTCATCTATCAGCACATTGTCCATTTTGAAGTAGGCTTTCTCACAGTCTTCCTCCTGATATTAATGTTTCCAGAAAACTTTGAGTCATGATTATTTCACAGGAATACTTACTGAAGAGCTTAAGCACAAATCCAACTGCTCAATGGCATACATTTCTTTCTAAAAAGCACAGCAGTTCTTGTACTGTGCCATTTCAGAAGAAACAGTTATGCTTTGTCCAAATGTCATTTCAAAATCCAATTCTTTAGTTCAGCTCATTTTTTCTTTCAAATTTGCCAATCCAGCAAAGTTTGGCACATGTAATATAGTCAGAAAACTAAGGAAGAGAACAACTAGTAAAAGGTCCACTTTAAGCATATAAGTAGGCTAAAGAAAAGTGAGAAACTTTTCCAGTGTTTTCTAGTATTCTTCACAGAGATTAACATATAAAAACAAGAAGCTATGCAACACCAAGAGAACTTTCATTATCAATCTCACTGTAAGAGCAGCATATTGATAAAAGCAAACATAATTTACAAGCACAATATAGGGCACTACTGTACAAGCTGATCTACCTTCTTCCATAAATCCCTCCTCTCCTTATGCAGCATGCCTTTTCTCCTAGCATTCCCTTCTTTAACTCTTCAAAGTCCCAATATGCTCTGGGGAAAAAAGGGACCTGCTCCCCTCCCACTGGTTTCAAGACAACCTGAGAACAACACATTTGTATTGCTCAGTTGAATAGAGAAAGACTCACATACTTGCCTCATTTAGGACCTACAACTTCTATAACTAGATCAGCATGAGAAAATATTAGCTACCCCACACTTGACCAAAACTGAACTTTTATAAGCATACCTAAAAAAACATACCTTTTCAAACTCAATGAAAGCGTAACAGAGAGATTCGCCAGTTTTCCAGTCTCTAATTACTTCACAGCTGAAAAATGGATAAGAAATTAAAATGTCAATGCTGTCGGAGCAAAACACATAGGATAGGCAAGGACTGCTTAAAAGGGAGAGTAGCAAACAAAACCAAACTACCACAACAAAAGAAAAAAACACCAAAAAATCCACAAAAAACCCTAACACAAACCCAAACCAACCACGAAACCCCTTGAAGGTATTAAAGCACTGGATTGTGAGCCCCTTACTGATGTGGGGGTATCTACACAGAAAAAAATCCATGTGACATCACTTGAGTAATTATTACACTTACCTCACAAATGGTTAACATGAGGTATTGAACTAAGGATGAATTTCTGATTAATGACAGAAAACCTATCTTCCACCATTACTGTTCATTATTTATTTTTTGCATTAATTTTGTATTAATGCATGACAAGAAATGTCACATTCTGTTTTCTCAATCATTTAAGGAAAGTTTGAACAGATACCATGTGACAAACTTTCTCTTCTTAACAAGCACCTCTTTAGTCACCATCTTACCAGACAGTTAACTGGGCAAAAATAATAAGCTTGAAGCATTCCATCAGTAGGTGCAAAATGGGAACAAAAAAAAACAGGCCTATATGCCTGTAGTGCACAAATTGGTAGAAGTTCAATGCAGAACAGAGTCAGCATGCACTTGAATGAGCAGGACCTACTCAGGACCATCTGAATAAATCTAAATGAATTTCTCTGAAAGAGTCAATATGCTTATGTGCGATGATGATCTATTTGATGCAGTCTTTTGAAATACCTCTGGAAATTCTAATAAACTCCTGCACCAAAGGCTTTTGGGAAAACTAAGCAGCAATGGTGGAAGACACATCTTTGCATTGATAAACATGTGAAAGCCCAGATAAGAATAAACAGTTATTTCTCACTGAGAAAGTAAAGAGGTCACCAGTGGAGTTTGCCGATGACACTAAATTGCTAGAGGTGGCAAAGACTGAAAAAAGTGCACAAAGTTCCTAGGAGACCAACTGAAGAACAATATAGCAAACCGTGTTCAACACAGATAAATGCAACAAGATGAGCGTGGAGGGGGGCAGAAATCCCGACTGTGCTTTTAGAAACAAAATAAGCTAATTGTGCATTAACTAGAAAAGGAGTTGAGAACAAAGCAGCGAATACCACTGTGCCACTGTATAGCTGCAATTTCTTTAACAATTCTGGTCTCTCATCCTGAGACAAAAAACAAAAGAATGGAAAAAAGCTGAGAAAAGGAAAACAAGATCAGGAAAATGCCTGTGCAAAGCATGACTATTTAGGCCAGTACTCTTAGCAAGAAAAAAAGATGACTTCAGCATATAGAATAGAGAGGTGTAGGAAAGCAAGTTTCACTGTCCATCATGTCTTTTGATACCAGTACTAGGAGGAATCAACTGAAACTACTACAAGTCAAGTTCAAAACTGAAAAAGGCAGCAGGAATGAGGAACATCTTAATAAGAAGTGTATCAGATGCTAGAAAAGTTTCCTGCTTTATGCCAAACCATACATATTCCAATGGAAAGAAAAATCCAGAGACTGTACCTAGCTCATGTAGCATCTGAGATAAAAACTGCTGAAAGGAGGGAGAGGATGGGGGCCGGGGAGAGTATCATATGCTTCCCTTGCTCCTACACTTCCCCAGGCTCTCACTTAAAACCACTGCTAGGACAGGATATTCATTTTACTAAATCTGACTTTGTATTGCCGTTGTTGTGGTCTCTATCCAAATACATGCAGTCACAGCATAAGTCTCTGGAGATGGCAGAACACTACTTAACAGCCAAACCTAAACAGATTGGAAGGAATCAACTTCAGCTTCCACACAGAAGGTTTTCTTTTTTCTTCTACAATTACCTTTTAATGGGACCAAATCGTGAAAATATTATCTCTAAGTCTTCATCTGTGGTCACAGGATTCAGTTTACAAACAAACAGCACATTTTCTGGTGGCTTGATCTCTGCATCTGGTAAGTCTCCTACCTGTGCCATATAGAAAAAGAATTTCATCACTTCTGCCTAAAGCTGTACATTTTAGTGCCACAAGTACAGTGGCAACATATCTTTTCATATGATTTCAAGACACTTTCCTGTCACAAAATGAAACATTATCTGGAAAACAGGTTATCAGCCCCACCGCTGCTGCCGCAGAACAAGAGCAGATCTTCTGCAACACTGGACTGACCTTGGTATTAGCCTCTGCTACAAACTATTCACCCTAAATTTGAATTTCGTAGTTGTAAAGAAGTGTGAGAGATTCATCCATCCTTCAACAGGGTCTGTGTTTTTTTTTCTTTAAAAAAAAAAAAAAAAGACAGACTTCAAAGCCTCTTCACAGGTTTTGTTACTATACGGCGTTTACAACTACCAGCAGTTACTAAACATCATTTTTAAGGAAGAACATAAAGTTAATCAATGTTAAATTCAAGTAATCCCATGGAAGGAAGACTGCTGTCACATTAACAATGCAACTGCAATGCCACTGTATGTACTGGGAAGAGATTATCACTAATGAGTTCAGCTCTCTCTCACACATGCTAAACCTTTTTCAGGATTATAGATAATCAGCAGCATACTATGTATGTTATGGTTTTTTTTTAATTGGGTGCATTTCTAGCAAGTTTTTATAAAGCCTCCACTGGTCCACATTTAATCTTGGCTTTCAAAACAGAGTATCACCCACTTTATCAGAAAACCACCTTCAATGCTCATGCTTAATCCTTTTCACTGTACCACAGACACTTCACAGATTCTGAGCCATGACATCATAACCAGATAAGCAACTTCAAGATAAATAGTACACATTCTCCTAGTCTTCATATAACATGCCCACACACAGGAATAACATTTAAAAGGTAAACGCAGAAAGATGCTGTTCACCATTTCCAGAAGAATGGCACGAGTTTTTGCTTCTTTTTCGGCCTGAAATTCTTCTATTTCATCTGCAGACCGTCCTTTCATGTCATCAATTTCTTCATCTGCTCCTATTCTGCCACTCTGCAAAATTAAGGAAAAAGCTATTTAATATCAAGCCATGGCCAAAAATTCTTTCTTACTTTCCAAATATTACTTGGATGACCTTCTCCCTCACCCCCAACATATGAAAAATGCTTAAGCATGCATCTCTGCAGAACTGGGCTCTCATTCTGTTTTTTTCACTTAGATTAAAAAAAAGAGAGATGATGTTATTGTTGCGTTTCAGGCACTATGTATTTTGTATGAACTTTCAGGCCCAATCATATTCAGTCAGATATTCTACACTCTTTTATACTACCATCTCACATTCAACACCTCACTTTACCCCAAGAAGCTATCATAAACACTCACATCCAGCTGTTCTTTAGTAGGTTCTGGTGAGCGATCAGGAACAGACAAGCCAGGCGGATCTTCAAATGGATCATCTAAAATTACTGTATGGTTTATCCTTATGGAAAACAAAATCAAGACCAGCATGACTCACATGCAAATAAAACTCTCTTTACCGAAGTAAGAACAAACTGGTCCCCCTGATTCTCAGTTATATTCCAGCCAAACATACTGTATGCTTGTTAATACTAGTACTGATGCTTTTATAAAGGCAACACAGTTGCACATTTTCTTACATGATTGTTTACTTTAGTACATGCTTATTTTACCAATAATACTGCAATAAAAGAGTACTTAAGATACCATGTACAGGTCACCTGACATCACTATATATTAATTTAGTTTCCAAAAAAGATTAATTTGTTTAATGATAATGTATTCCTCAAAAAGGGAAGTTATAAGCAGTCACACCTGATATCTTGATATGGGATAAAATCCTTATCTACAAAGGTTTCATTAATTGTCTTCAATACATCCATGCCCTCTGTCACTTCTCCAAACACTGTATGCACACCATCGAGGTAATCCAGGTTTTCCCCTGTAGTAATAAGAAACTACAAAAGAATATATAAAACAAGTAAGAAAAATTCAGGTTTTGAGTTTTACCTTAGGAGAGGTACAACTGTCAATGAAATCAGTCAGGGAAAAAAAACCTTCTTCCTGATCTTTGCAGAAGATTAGTCTTCTTCCATTAGCTCTGAGAACATGAGCTGATAGAAGAAAACCTACAGCTAGCAGCCACAGCTTGAGGAAGAACGGCTCTCCCACACAAGTCTCCTTCCACAAGAGCTCCAGTCTTCAGCTTTTCGGACCCTGAATTGGTTTGATTCAGCAACCTGGCAGAAAACCAGACCAGCAGAGGAAGAGCACGTACTTATCTGCCAGGTAGGTGTGTTGAGCAGGATCAGGAAAGCTTGTAACAGGCATCACAGCTGATGCTGTGAGAGAATGAAGAGCAATGCTACCCTCTGGGCAGCAGCGAGCTGAGCTCAAATCACATGTATATCAAACTGCATTCAGCAGGTACATTTTCACAATTTTAGCAAAGCTTCCATAGTTCTATCTTCATATAATTCTATTCAGACTTTTTTTGTTCCTTCCCTTGTATCACAACCCATCTCTTCCGCCAAACCAGAATGCAGTAGCATTGAGAGGAGAACTGGAACACACAGGAGCATTGACTTAGATCAGACTGAACTAGCACTGAAATGTATTCTAACACAGATCAGGTGTTTTGCTTTAGGGCAAAACTGAAACTATGAAAATTGATACAAACTGAACATTTGGTAACAAATTAAAGATGGAGGATACCCGGTAATGAACAAAGAAGGAAGAAGCAGATATGCACAAATAACAGAACATAACCACTACATCCATGCTTTACAATCTGACTGGTAACATCTCACTCCCCATTCTCTCCAATACAGTTAAGACTTGTTAGTATTTGTTATAGGCTACGTTAAGCTACATTGTATTTGTGAGCCAACTCCAAATAACTTTTTACTGGAATTTTTCATTCCTAAAGAAGCTGCAATAATGTTTCTGGGAATTGCATTCATTCATATATGACTGTGCATATGCTAGCAGGCTGCATTCTTACATATAAATACAAATGTCATCTCCTTTCTCCTAAACTCCCCACCCAAACAATTTTATACATACAATACAGGGGAGCAGCAAAATAAACTCCATGCATTACAAGCTCTAGCTGGAATAAACCCATAGGCTTTTTAATTGCTCTTCAATTACTAACCCCCACCTCTTTTTAAAAATAAAACATATGGATATTACAAGTGAGGCATTTTTTTATGTATCAAAGTGACAATACATCTAAAATAATAATTTAGAAACAATATTCTAACAGATTAGAGCTTTAAATATACCTACAGCAAAAGATGTGTGCACGTGAATAGGGAATAGCAAAGGGAACAAACCACTTTCAAAAACTGTTTTATACCAGTACTGGGATAAGACTATAAACTTGTATTGTTAATGCACACTTATATAACCATACCAAGAACTTTCATTTTAGTTACTCAAGTGTGTACCAAGGCTTTCCAACACTGTATGCTGACCTGTGATCCATGCTGATCACTGCCATTGTTCACCATTGACACAGTTCCCTTCTTTTTGTGCTTGATTCTCGGCACTTTCTCCGCCTCAAAAAATCTAGCTTGATCACCATACAGTTGGCTGAAAACATACAACAAATATTTTACAAGTCAAATGGATTCTAAAAAGTGAGATTAAACAAATGCTGTAAAACAGTAAAGAAAACACCTTGGACATCTTTACATTAGCATTTAAGTAAAACCAGAATTTACATTGCATCTATGCACATTTTTCTGGACCTGTGCACTTACATAATTCAGTTGTTATTACAGGGAACAATAGCTTTGTCTCTGTGGCATCTCACTGAGATTTGATTCTGTTTGGTTGGGGATTTTTTTGTTTGAGGGGGGCGGTGTATTTGTGTGTTTTTAAATGCAGTATATAACATTTTTCTAAGGCATAAAGCAAACACGAGTTTTGGTAAGTAAATTCTGCAAAAATAAGTTAATCCATGCTTGGAAAGTTTAATAAATTATGTCACAAATTTCTATTCCAAAGTAAGTGGAAAGCCACTAAATCTATGTGTAAACCTAGTTCAGTATATAGGCAGGACTGTATACAGTAATTTGACATACATAGGATCAGGCAAACTATTAAATTCTTTTTTAATTTTTTAATTCTAACCCTGATTATCACTCATTTTGTCTCACTCCATAACTGACAGAGGTAAGGTCAAGACACACATTTGCTCAAATTTAAGGACAGTGCTGTGTTTGAACTCATTTTCCTAAGCGTGGTAAGCCTCTGTGAAGGCAGGATTCAAATTAAACTTTGCCTGCATCAGTTTCCTGAGTAGCAAGAACAGAAACTCCAATTTCATGGACTTCAACAGCAATTAACAGGTAGAAAAGACAAACTGCCATTCTCCATGCTAGCAGCAGAACAGAATCTGCCACTCTCTCATCACATTACACCTCCCTATCTGCCGTACCAATGAGCCTCAGAAGAGAAATCCCTATAAAATAGCAGAATGTCAAAATAAACTCGATCTACCCATGTGCAGAGACAGCTTAGGTCTGCTAAGTTTACCTACCTAGACTTGCTCTGCTTAGCACAATATACTGCTTCTAGGATCACCAGAGTGGTGATCAACAGATCCTTGTGTTCAAGGTTTTGTATTAAGAGGCTCTGACAGACCAGCCTTACAAAGGTCAATGCTGGTCTAGCAACGCTGCCTCTGTCCAAACCGAGCTATTTATCTCTGCATAATGTGCTCCCCAGCACTCTAGGTTTAGTTCTGCTCTGCAATTTTAATTCTCCTTCTAATAACACTTTCAAAGGAATCATATAGAACATATGCACTAACTTCCATCCAAGCCATCTGAATGATTTCTTCTACTTCAGTATGCATGACAACTGACATCTTAAACAGGAAAGAAAAGTGATTTTCTTACATATGTACAACATGACTAAAGTCAACTCAAGTAAATTTCTGGAGCAGCAAGATTACTTTGCCTTTAAGTACACAGAGGACATCATACATAGCCTTTATATTCCCCTCCCGCTCAATTAAATGTTACAAAAATAAAAGTTACAAAAATAAAAATGTTACAATGCTAATGTTAATGCTTTTGCCTTCTGCAGAGCACTTCATTACAATACTTCTCTTACTAAACCAAAACTGTAGTTATTTGCTTTAACTTTTAAATAATGAGAAATTCACATACAACTTGTTAGCTGTAACTTTGCTTTTAAGGTCAGAGATAGAACACTGCCCAGAAAAAAAGCAATCTGAATGGCTGAAGACAGCACAGTAATTAAAAAAAGGTATTTAGGTATGACAACCAAAGCAGCTTATACATCAACATTTTTACTTCCTGTCAGTAATTCAACCCCAAGAGAGCTGAAGACAATTTAATTGGAACCCCTATTTCCCCATACAACTTCTCTGCCGATTAAGTAACACAGAAGTTTCACTTACCAAAATATGGATTCCCCTCCACGGCCAGTTCCCATGGGGTCTCCAGTTTGTATAATAAAATCCCTCTGTCACAAAGCAGAACACACAAGATATTGATCTCATGATTGTCAATGTAAAGCAACAAAAAGAAAAAAAAAAGGAAAAAAAAAAAGGAATTGAGAATACTCACCTGAACATTATGAATAAGACAATAGTTGTAGTACTTGACTTTGCAGAGCTTCAGAAAATTCAGACAAGCTGTAAGAAATTACACCTACATTTACTAAAGAAAACCCCAGATATCATAAGCACAGATATAACAGATAGCCAGTTCAACGTGTGGAAAAGTATTTTTGGAACAGTCTTTGCTAAGACTTAGCAGCGCACGCACAACCTATAAACGCTGTGAGAAATGCTCTAAGGAAAGGTAACATTTCCTCCCTTCTTAAAGCCAATCTCTAGTGATTCAAAGAACCCTAAATACAGCTGTTTATACAGAAACACATTTTTTCCTCCACACTTTCTTTCCAAACACCTAAGAAAGGCCACAGTTGCCTTCCAATTCAGAATATATTTGCCTTTTAATTACTATACATTAAATTTATAATAAGGGCATAATTTAAAAAATCCAAGCTTCCCAACAGCAACTGAGGCTTCCAAGTGTTTTAAGCACGTACATACAAGCTGCGCAGCGGGACCGCTGACAGCCACAGCAGACTCCGCACTCGGTGGAATCTAATCCCAGGACTGGGGCCCGACGAGAAGACCCAAAACCCAGGGTAGGAGACAGATGCGCCGCTGACTGAAACCACCCGCTTAAAGCCCCTTCCCTGTGGAGGCCGTGCCGGCAACCCCAACCTCCAGCGGACAGAACGCCAGCAAAGAGCCCAGCGCTCCCTTCTCCTTCCCCGCACAGCGGAAAACCGGGGGAAGCTTCGCGGCGGCCGCAGGAGAGCAAGCGGCGACGAAACGCAAGGCCCTACGGTTTATTTAACCGTATTTCCCCACCGATCAGGCGCCATCCAGGCACGGATGGCAGCCGTAAAATCTGTATGTTCCACCCCGCTTCGGTTCCTACCGCGGGGCCGCTCCTCCGTGTACAGGTCGATGACCAGATCCCCCACGGTGGTCTCCAGCAGCACCGCCATGACGCTCAGCCGCTTCCGCAGGGCACGGCGGCGCAACCCGCCCTCGCTAGGCCGCCCCCTGCCGGCGCGGAGGCTCCCTGCTGCAAGCGCCTCTCCGCGCGGCTGGGGACACGCACAAGTGCGTCGGCCCCGGGGCCGAGCCGGCTCTGGCAGCTGACGGCCGCCGTGCTGCGGCCTTCACCGCAGCTGCCTGGGGGCTGCACGCCTCTTCCCTCTAGCGGGAACAGGGCGGGGGACAACGGGGCAGGCTGCCGCGGTGTCCTACCTGCCTGAAGGGGAAGAGGGTATACCGCGTGACTCCCCCCAGCAGCAACCTGCTCTGTCAGAGTACACGTTTTGAGGCCGATCGTGCAGGTTTTGAGAGTGGTGCTCGCCAACGAGGGGTGTGTGTGCTTATACTATATAGTCAGAGAAAACCGGGTTTACCTCACAGTTATTAACAGAAGGTTATAAAGTGATTAACGGGCCAAATATTTGCTTTGAGTACATGGTCAGAACACAACCTGTAGAGCTTACTGTGGGTGACAGGACACACAAGCAAATCAAATTTATTTCTTTCCAGCTGACACTAGAGTGCCAACCCTCTACAGAGTGTTCTTGGGCATATGTGTTACAGCTGAACTAATGTAAAGGCTCTTAACCTTCAAAACAAGGGGTCCTGCTGCCGGGCACAGAGTTTCCACTTGAGGCTGTGTTCTCTTTGCCTCTTTGCAGATCCCGCTCTGGTACTTGTCACACAATGAGTCAATTCAAGTCACTAATCTGTGACTTTTTATTTCTTATTGCTGAACTCAATTCCTGACAGGTTAGTGACCTGAATTTTCACCATACAGTAAAAAGGAACTAGGGAAGGGGGAGAATAGGGATGCACAGCTGGGAGAAGAGGTGCATGTATGGTTGGTAAGAGCAGGATCTCCCCTTTAAGTAGCAATAATAGTAGTATCAGATCATCACATTATATTACAGCACCTTTATAAATAGCCAAGTAGGGAATTTGCCCACTTTTCATCACTATCCTGCTGGGTTATGTTCCTGGAGACATGGTGGGCTGGTCCTGGGACCAGAATGTGCACTGCAGAAAAGTTGTGTTCTGCTTCCATAGCATACTAGTTTTCAATGCTGTTTGTGCCATCATGTGTTTTAGAGTGCTCTATTGGTTTTGTGACTCTACATCAAGCCTAAATTGATTCAAGGCTGGTTTTAAGCTATCCTGTACAACAGTTACTCATGGAAGAAAGCACTATAGCACATGCTACATTTTTTACTCTGAAACTTTAATGTTGGGGGATGTGCATCAGTTTTCTGCAAGCCTGTGCTGACTGAAGTTTAACTATTTACTTGCTACTCTAAGAACTCTTACTTCGCACGTCAGTAAGAAAGCGTATCACTAACTTAGTCCAGGTTTTTACCACTATTTAGGCATAAAAGAAATTAAATTGTAATTTCATTATTCCTTATACTGGCTTTTGCCTTCTAATAACCCACACCTATAGTGAAGGTTCACAGGAAAAATGGCTTCTTGTGATCATACACCAGCACTGAAATACAACACTTCTGGCACCCTCTGCAGTTCAAGCAGTAGTCAATCTCAGTTCAAAATACTTTAAAATGTTACATATTTTAATAGTTATAAATGTCAAGACACGTTCACCAGCAGACTAGAGGAGTCTAGGAGGTGTGTGTCTGAGCTGAAAGGGAAGCCTTATGCTCCCAGCCTGTCCTGGCACTGAGTAGGTTATTCAGTCACACAAGGACAGATCCCTTGTGAAACTGGTCACAAGTTATTTAGTTATTGTGAGGAATTTTACCATTTACATTAAGTAGCATCTGTTGTGCTGTGCAACTAATGAAAGCTTTGAAATTTGGGGAAAACAGCAGTACGTTGAAAGCAGTTTTAGTGCATAATTTTTGCAGTTTTAATTAAGTTCCAAGAGAATAAAAATGAAGGAAGAAAGAGGATTGAGGAAAAGGGAGTGCAAAAGACTGGGAGAAAAGGGGAAGGATGATGGAAACAAAAACAGAAAGAAAGCATTACCTGATAGGTGGTTTTCCAGGAAACTTGTCAAAGGAGACAGACAAAAAAGGAACAGGTATTTATGTCCTCTTCCATTTCAGTGAGATACTGGATTCCTTGAGGTCAGCTGAGAACCCAGCCTGAGCTTTGCTGCATCTATAAATTCTGCAGTTCAGCAGTCCTTGCTTCCTGGGATTTTTATGTACACCAATACCATTAATCATGATGCCTCTGGTACCTTTTGTAAATATTTGAATCATGAATCTCATACACAAAGCACTGTAGTATTGCAGCTTGCCTTTGCTCATCTAGAATTCACCAGTCCTGTTAGAAGTAACCCCCATTCTGATTTACACATGGAGTGCAACTCACAGTTAGGAATTTAGGTAATTTAAACTGCCTCCCACCAGCACATGCAAATGACTGCAAGTACCAACAAGAGCTGCATTCTTGTAGCTGCCATCATATCCCTGAAAATTCTTATGCACCCCATTTGAGATTCAGCAAAATGTCTTGTTGGGGAGCTGACTTACCATATATCTCTCTATATATAGATATCAATTTAAATATATATAACTCTCTTAGGCCTCATTTTCTAATGCCTTCTATCTTGCGCCAGATGTTTGCACTGCTGTCTCATGAACGAAACTGCATATGAAATACTAAGTTTCTGTGGGTTTTAGGATTTATGTTCACTGTCAACCAAGTGGGAGCCATAGAGTGATATTAAATCAGGCTGCAGACTGCTGCAACAAGACAGCTAATTCATTGCTAAGCTCTGGCTATAGTAAAACCTCACCAGACAAGTTGTGAAGATGTTTGCCATTAGCAAGTCTGCTAACAGACAATGGCAATCCTTCTTAAAGCACTTTTAATCTTCCTATCCACTGAGGACTTGGAGATACAGGTTGGTTCCATTGGTTCCTTTCCTCTTAGGCATGGGACTTCCATGGTTTTGACTCCACTGTTAAACTTCCCCGTGTTCTCTTCTCTAGTCTGAAGATGTCCAGCTCTTTAAAACTTCATCTAGTGCTTTCTTCCTTTCAGATGACTCTCTCTGAGAGTGTGCCCTGGGGCACACTGAGCCCTTTTGCTTTCAAGAAAGCTTTCTGGACATGTGGTGCTCAGAACTCAGCCTGGCATTGCTCTGGCCATATAACCCCTGCTGCTGATGGGGAACTGCAGGTATCTTCGGGGAGTGAAGGAAGTAGGTGAATTTGATAAGTGTACATTGGCCATTTCATCTAGAGAATTATTAACATTAGCTATATGGGTAATTATTATACAAAGTGCTTTCAAAGGCTGTAATCACCTGTTAACGGTAATGAACATTTGTAGGAGCAGGCACATCTCCACACATGCCCAGGGTGGTGAGGCACTGGCACAGCTTGCCCGAGAAGCTGCGGCTGCCTCATCCCTGGCAGTGTTCGAGGCCAGGCTGGACAGGGCCTTCAGCAACCTGGTCTAGTGGAAGGTGCCCATGCCCGTGGCAGGGGACTGGAACTGGGTGAGCTTTAATGTCAGGCGGGCCGCGAGGGAGGGAGGCGACGGCGGGAGGGGGCCCGGCACCGCCTCTCCCTCTTCCTCCCGGTCCCGCCCCGCCCCTGCCGCCGCTTGTTGATGTTTCACTTTGTTTTAATTCCCGGGTCGCAAGATGGAGGCGGCGTTGGGACGGCGGGCGCTGCTGCTGCTACCGCTGTTGCTGTTACCTCTGTTGCTGCTGCCGCTGGCTGCCGCGCTGCTGGGCCCCGCCGCGCCGCCTCAGTTGGGCCAGGTACCGATGGGGCCAGGGCGCGGCGGGGCCGGTCCCTATCCCTCTCCCTGTCCCTCCGAGGGCGTCCCTCTCCCTGTCCCTCCAAGGGGCGAACCGGACCCTGCCGGAGAGCGGGCGGCTCTGGGGCGGCCGTGGGCGGCTTGGCCGCTGGCTGGCACGGCCGGGCGGGTGGCATCGCCGCCGCTGGAGGAGCGGGCAAAGCTGATGGCACCGGAGGGCGGTGTGCTGGGTACGAGGGGGTTTTCCTGCTGTAGCGCTCGGCAGACTGAGGTGTGTTACCCCTGCTTAAAGTGCTGAGCTGCTGCTCGAGTGCATTTCGGTCTAAATGTGGGAAAATGGCACAAAAGGACAGGATTATGCATCTCCCACCAACTCAGTTAATGTTTTCCGCTCTCTTTAATGACTTATATAGGATTTAATATGCTAAATAATATTTGACTGTTTTCGGGGGGGGGGGGGGGGGATGATTGTTACTTCTCTGCAACGTAGATGTATTTACATCGTATTCTAACGCTTGTCTACCCATGTTTGGACTTTCAGCGCTATTGAAGTATGCAGTGCCTTAGGTACATGCTTGCTTTTAGTGATTTCTGTACTGAAATTGAACCAAGCAAAGGGTTACGATGTGTTGGTATATTATGGGACATCGTGCTCTGTTTTTTTCTCCAGTATCTATGCTGTATCTTGGTAAGATTAGTTTTAAATTAAATTTGGTGGCTTTTTAAAAAGTGGAAGGCATTTTTTGGGTACTGCTTAGGAGATAGTGGGAATAGAAAAATGTGCTGCGGTACTGGTGATCTTTAACCTCTAGAATTACCAAAGAGAACTGAATGCTTAGGTCCGTACTTGAATCATGACTGAATACATCCTCTAATTGTTGTAATAGTGAACTCCCAAAGTGTGAGGTTGCAAAGAGGGAAGAGGTGTTTTGCATTTGTAGTCACTTGTCTAACCAATGTGAAGTTGCTGTCATGATTAAATTTACTATGGTTTGGGGTTTTGTTGTTGCTGATGTTGTTCGGTTGTTTTTTCTGTTTTTATTTAAGTAAAACGTTTCCAAGAAAGCCTGACAGAGGCCCTGCACTGGCACATCCTGTGTTGCAAAATGGGATTCCTGGGCTTACTTCCTGGTTTCTGCCTCTCTATAGGAACATTTGAAGAGAGACTGACTTAGATCTGTTTTCAAAATGGGGTTTTAGATCTTCAGACACCTATAAAAGCACTTAAGTGCTTGGAGTCAGGTGCACTAAAAAGAGCAGACACAGCACAGTCCTTGGGTATTCTGCTTATCTGT